ACACAAAACTGTGGCGGCGTTCTCCTAAGTCACACTCATAATTAGAAAGTAAGATAAGTTATAACATCTGTGAGACTCTGTAATTCAGTCACAGATTTAGAAAGTGTAGACTAATTGCATTTTGCTTCTTATCTCGTGAATTGGATCCACTCCAGAGCCGGAATGGAAATCCCCGTGTTCAGTCACGGACGGAGCCTGGTCGTGAGAATGCTGTGGATTTTTAGCAGTATGACAGTGCTGAGAAGTTAGGTGGGGGGTTTCATTACCAACCAGAGAGAAAAAAAACATGACAGATTCTTCCTTGTACTGGCTGCTTCCTACAGGAGTTAATGGTGTGAGCAGTATTTTAAGCCAGGGCTTGCTACAGGAGCCAAGGGCAGGCAGGCGCTTGACATATAAGAGGTTATTAGGAACATTTGCATGGCGGTACAATAGAGTGGAGAAGAGAAACAGCAGCACTGAGGTCAGGTTAAAAGCTCCTGTTCTGAACCAACCTCCCCCTGAGTTGCAGAGATCCCAGCTGCAACATGTTGTCTCCGCTCTAAATTATAGACACCGCAGCAGCAGGATCGCTGTCACTTCATACACAATACACCATGTTTCTCTCTCAGTGGTTTGTGTTCAGCTGCAGACTCTTTGCCCTTTTATCCTCATACGCAGTCCAAGCAACACATAACATCTGAAAATAAAACATGAGAGCTGCTCAGTATGTGGTGGCTGTACACAGTTTCTACCTTTTACAGGCATTGTGTGATCTGCCAGTCTCATGTTAGCTCAGGATGTTTGTGCAAAGCTTTGGTCTCTGCATCAGGCTTGCTCCCTGCTGGCCTGATGACCAGATGGGTCAGTGAGTGTGCAGTTGGGGCTTGGCAGGCCCCTTCTGTTCTCGGCGAGGGTCCACTCATGGGATCGAAACCCCAGAGATCAAAATTATAGAAGCTGGATCACAAGGTACACAAACTGTAAGCTAAAATGAGATATACACTCACATAGGCATGCATTTAGCGCACTCACAGACCTCGCACAGGTGAACACTCGCACTCACTCTGTCTTTTGCGGCAGAGTATGGTCATGTGTGTATTCTTACATGAGCTGCATTTTACTCTTGAAAGAGCCCGATGTGTCAGGAGGCAAAATGTTTTACAGAGATATTAACAAGAGAAAACGTGATTTTATTCAATACGCTGGGATCCAACTTGGTGTTTTATCTTTTTTTCTGACAAGCTGTTCAGGAGGTCTACATTACTGAAGTGAGATTTTTCTTGCCGTGTCATGTGGAAATTTAGTCAAGTCATCTTCAACTGTTATTGCAGTCCATTAACTCCATTGTGAAGATACATAATTGATGCAGCCTTTGGGTAGAGTTTAATCAAATGGAGAGTGCTCCACACTCGGCTGCCAACTGAAAAATGAGACACACAATCTGTAGCGATGTAGTATGTGTGCTAAGACTATAATTCACGATTTGAATTGATTTATAATCATTTGACTGAACACTTTCTGCACTATGCCCAAAGCAAAAACTTGTAGCTTTTAAGCTTTAAAAGGTGGAGTCATGTGGGGGATTTATGTGCCTGAATTAAGATCAGCTTGAAGAAGAAAGACTCAATGAAAGCCAAACGCCACCCAGTTCTTTCTGCTAATCTACTCCCAAACAAGCAAACGACTGTGCCGAGTGATTATTTTTTCTTCCGCTACACCTTTTGGGTTTTTCGATTTTTTTTGATGTTTGTTTGATGTGATTTTTTTCTAAAACTTACCCTTAACTACTCAATTCCATTTGAGTATTTTCTTTCTCTAAAGGCGTTTACTTTCCTTTGAAATAACAGTGATCTGTGTGGGATGTGGAAATGCATTGTTTACGCTCTGCTCCTTGAAATCAAGGGCTTAGCTCTCTAGTTAAATTTCACAGCCAGCCAGCACTTATCTCTGTCAACTCCTGTTTAAGCCATAGATGATCTGCCTTGGTTAAAAAGCTACTGGCTTTTGTTTGAACCTGAGCTGTGATTCAATGTTAAAAACGCTCTACTTTATTTTATGCAAGCCTGTAAAAGTAAGCTGAATCTTTCACGCAGCCAAAGCATAACAAACATGTACCATATTTACGAGATGTATGCCAACGCTCGGTGCCTTTTTTTCTCCATGAATGCATTTTTCTGACAGGGGAAATTGGGGGAAAGCAGCAGATTAGTGCACCTACTCAGCTGCAAATTCTGAAGAGCATTCGTCTCACTCAGCCGTCTTAATAACACAGCAGCACTCAATTAAATCCATGAAGTCAGATATGTAATTTTCAAATAATCATTAACCGGGGGTACGATGGAATTAGAAGTTTGGATATCGATGAGATGGTAGGGGGAAGGCAGGGAGAGAGACAGCGGGAGAGGCGGCATGTACCAAATCCCTCAGCCAGAGATGAGTGAAGATAAAGGAGGTGACTGAGCTAATTGTGTACTGTCAGAATCCATATCTCTAACGACTGTCAAATGAGCAAATTTCAAATGTATTCTCTCCACCCACCCGACTTCCCCCCAGGAATTAGAGTGATGAGAGAGAGAGGGAGGAAGAAAGAGAGAGAGTGAGAGGAGGGGTGGGGGGTAAATACCAGGAGACACTAATGTGATGAGAATGATGCCTGGTCTCTTCTGCTGATTAAAAATGCAATAACACTGTGACGAACATGCGCACACACATACACACACACACTTAGAAGAAAGGATACATGCAGGTCTGTGAACTCATGGAAAAGAAATAGCACCCAGTGACCCCGAACGAATTATCCATTTAGAAAAGAAGGAGCACTGTATCTATGCCTTGGACTGCTCAAAGTAAACAAACATAACATTTTAGCTGCAGAGCCTGTTCGTAAAAATGTGCTTGTGATCTTCTTTTAGATGATAATTAGTGCCCATGTGGCAATACAGATGCTGTGATTCATGTCTAACCAATGGCTATCTTACTGTACCACTAATTAAAAAGACTTTGTGTCACTGTGTGCGCTGGAAACTGGAAACAGTAGCTACCCCTGATTTTTTTTTTTTCAGCTGAAAGAAAAGAAAAAAAAAATTCCAGCTGATAAACAAAGCACATCTTAAGGAGGTTTTGAGTACAAGCAGCAGCGGGGGAACAAATAAGAATAGTGCGGATTGTCTTTATCCACCCTATGTTAGATCAGGCCTCAGCTGGTTACTGACGGGAAGCAGATAAGGTTTCACTCTGGCTGGAGTTGGATAATTGGACATTTATGGAGAGATAGGAGAGCCCAGAGCCCAGGAGCCATGAAACAGAGCTAATCTAGACCCAGCATCAGTAAATTGTCTGTGAAAGAGCGCATCAGGAGTTCTGACAAGATAAGGAAGGCTTTCTTCAAAGGCAGAGCTGGACAAAAGTGACATGAAAACTCCAATGGAAGAAAGCCTGAGGTTTATTTTTTTTTCCTCTACTCTGGGACTCTCTTCAAGTCACAATGAGGCGCGCATTGAAACGTACTTTTCATACAGCAGTGATGTCACCTTGTCATCCAAATTGGGTCATGCAGACATGTAATTCTCTCTCAGTTTTCAGGACACTTTTGACAACTTTCTAGCGAGACAGTTCCTGCGGCTAAAAAAACTCACATTGAAAGTGGAGTGTGTGTATATTTTTCCTTTTTTTAGAGCTTATAAAACCTATTATTCAACTTCAAGTGCTGCACGCTAAGTAACCTGACTGACAGTCTGTAGAGTTTGAAACATTTAAGCCGTCCTGCTGGAGTGTGCCTCGCTCCGAGTCCACCATGATTAGCTTTCCTCTCTTTGATGTATTTCCTCCTCGTGTCTTCCAGGGAACTGCTGCCTCCAGAACAGGTGCATACCGAGCAGGTGGGCCTTTACGTAGGAGCCATGGGAGTTAGATGCTGGAGTAAACCATCCCTCTACGCTATTTTGAGTAGGAGAGGGGAAAAAAAACATGCACAAACATGCAACATTTTGATTCAGACACCATACAGATATCACATCTTCAAAGTTCTGGCGTCATGTCAGGATCAAAACTGCTACTTCTCGGGCTGCGTCTTCTCTTTTTGCTGAGCTGCACATTTAAACTCCGTACAGACCCTACTGATTACTTGCACACAGACACTGACATAGGCAATTAATTTGGTGGGGGAGAGGCTAGTCTTAATTGGGCATAAGTGGGATTTTTCTTGGCTGTGTGCAACAGAAAATGACAGACTGTGCGTATGAGAAGTAAAGACCATCTGGTTCCCACAGGAGCGGAGAGAGATGCCAGACAAATGGAAGGGGAAACAACAGAAAACCTGTTTGGGTAAGGATTTCATTCGCTGCCTTTTCCCTTGTTTCTCTCTGTGTCTGTCCCACACCAAAAACACACACACACATGCGCAGAAAAGAGAGGAATCAGCATCTCTTGCTCGTATATCATTCGCTCATGTAACAGCCTGGAGGGAGAAGCTTACCAGGTTGAAGAAGCAGAAGTCTCTCATGCGTGGCCTATTCATGTTTTATATAATAATCAATATTGAAAATAGTAACATTATGCTTGCAGGCAGGCACAGGAATAAAGAGTGGTTGGCTTGCAAAGGCTTGGCTATCAGCAGGACAAATTGATCTGACGTGTAATATAATTCATGCAAGGGATTGGCGGTGAGAACTGAAGGGAGGAACAGCGACAAAGAGAGGGAGAAACAAGTCGAGACACAGAAAGAGCAAAGGGTGAGCGGAGGAATCAGCTAGTGGACATCGTCTCTGCTCCTCTTTGCAGGGTTTCATCTCCTCTGCATGACAGCACTGCTCAGCCAGCACGCTAATGTGCCCTGTCAGAGGGGCGAGAGAGTAGACAAGCACATGACATTTTCATCAGTGTACAGAAACTCCAAAACAAGGCGGTGATTAATTATACTTATTCACACATGGCTATAAACACACACACACACACATACACTCACACAAGTCCAGTCACGACTTACACATATACAGAAATAACTATGATGTGCCGCCTGGTTTAGTTGTATAAAAGATAACAAAATGATTTTATTACATCTTCATTATTTGACAGACATCACAACATACTTGCATGATTGCTCGGATATTAATGCTTCCCACACCGTAATGAGGCATAACATACCCATGTACGAAACTCTATAAAACAAACATGCTTGCAGATACAGAGAGAGGGGGGTTGGGGGGGATAAATCAACAACAGATTAAAGCCATATTCCGTCATTTAATTCAATTCAGTTTTGCTCAAAAGAAAAAATCAAACGTCAGAAAGATGCAGAAGCTCATATCATTTTCAGGATTTATTTCTCTTTTTTTGTTTACATCAAATAGAACAGACATACATCGGCACATGCAAAGTGAACACTTTGTGGTGCTTTTTCATTACCATCCAAAATCCAATTTTGAACAAAGACTGGATATCTAGATTTTGTACTCCAAACATGAAAATACTCTCAAATATTTACAAAAAAAATATACTTACAATGCCCATCACTCCCTACAGAATAATCATCTTGGACTGATTTCAGTTGATTTCAGTAAAACAAAATACTGTATGTGGCAGAGCTCGCTGTTCAAGGTAATCAAATCAACTGCAAGAAAAAGAGGCACAGAAGAAAAATCACTCCGAAACAATACAAAAACAGAAATCAGATAATGGGAACCCCAAGAGAATATGGCTTTAATGACATTTCAAAAGAAAATATCTTGAAAGCAGAATCCACTCTCCGTCTTTTTTGTGGTTGTCCTCATTCACGGTGACCCCTTTTAGCAGGCAAATTGTTCTCCGTCAGAGAGAAAAAGGGGCCACAACACATGTTTAAAACCTACTGTTTGGTCTGTGAGGCCCAAACCAGCCACACTGGCCTACAGCTGTGCTAGTCTCTGCCAGGACTCATGGATCATGTCTTGGATGGAGGTTGGATGCCATCCACAGCCCTGGAGTGCATAGGTACTGCAGGTGGTGCTGGGATGCCTGCGCTCGCTCTCCCATCTTTGCATCTTTCTCTCTCTCTGTTCCTTTTACAGCTCCCTTTCCCTTTTCAATCATCGATTAAAAAGACAAACATTATCCGTTTTTGTCAAGCAGATCAGATCCTGAGGTTGTTGTAACTCACATATGTCTTCTTGGTTGCCTGACCTGAGAACAGAGTAAAAACAAAACAGAAAATTAATGCGAGAGTGACTAAAATCTACAAAAGAATAAAACATCTCGATGAGACAAATAAACATCATCCGTTTGATTTTGTGTGAACTCTTCCTACCATGCTGTGCATTCTCATCACCAGCTGTGTGCAATCTGCAGCAATATTTTCTGGTCTGGTGTATCATTTCAACTCACAATGCCCCGGTGTAAAGCCATACTTTCTATTTTCAGATGTTAACTAGTGATAAAAAACACAACACCACACAAGTGAGCACCGAACAAATGCTGGGGCATGCAATGTGATCCCAGTCTGGATTGCCATGGAAACATATCAGAATGTGGCTGAGTGCCTAGGTGCTCTCTGTTGTATGCGTGTTAATGTGTATGTGTGTGTGTCCTTCAGTGTATATACGGTTACAGGAACTAATTTGAGTTTGGAGTGAGAGAGACCACATGTTTTTACGTACACTAGGGCCATCCTGGCAGATTGTGACTTTTGTGTTGAGTTTTTTTTTCAATTTTGGACTGAAGTCTCGAGTAAATATGCGCCTTTGGATCAGGTTTACTTTTAAGTGGGCCAATTACGACAGGACATATGTTTTCTCCATATTTTATACACGGATGTGTGTCCTCTGTGCGGTAAAAGGAGCAGGCTGATGTACATTTTCTTAATCTCAGACTTTGCTATAAATTCTCATTCTAGTGGTTGAATGTTGCTACGGCAACCGAGTCCCATGGGCTATGCAATTAAAGTCGCACCATTTCTTTACAGCTGCATTTTGTAGTCTTGGCCAGCGAGTATGATGAATAAAACATTAGTAAATGTACCACAGATTCACACTGTGAACCATAAACAGTCTTAAGGAAGAGCTGTCTTTTTAGAGCAAACCGCTGAGAGTGTGTGTGTTTACTTGTCTGCCATTTAGACCTCTACCTGCGCTATCATTTGAATTTTTAATGCCAATAGCTGATTATTCATCTAATCCCATAGCTTTTCTTGTCCTTTCGTTTTCATCCACTTCTCTTGTCTTCCCACAGAACGCTTGCTCACGCAGCACACGCCTGTTTGGTTGATCTGTATCGGGGAAAAAACAAACAGCTCAGGCCGGTGGAGCTTTTCAGCGTCTCCGGTTTGCAGGGAAAATCCCTCTGTCTCTTAGAGGTGTAATCATGAAGACATTACACCGTATCAATACCAATGTAAAACTGCAGAAGTGCTAATGCTCTTGATCTTATAAATCACTTGGAGCCATCTCACACTGGGCTGATGGGCCCTGAAAGTGAGGGATTTGGCGCTCTGATGGTTACAGGAATTGACAGACATTCTCCTGGGATGGCTGAGGCACAGTTCAGGTTTTCAGGGCGGTCATGCACATAAATTCGCCATTAATAAATGTCACTTCTCCTGCTGCTAAAAAAAGAGGGGCATGGGGGGGGGAGGTGAGTGCGCAGGACGGGACGAGACGAGAGGGCGTTCGTGTAGGGGAGACAGAAGGTAAGAGACACGCAGAGCAGATGACAAGGGGCACTTTTGGGAGGGCCTTCCAGAGACGGTGCGCCCTGCTCGGGGACTTTTGATGCACCGCTGCGACAGATGTTGAGGTTTCACCCTGCATGCAGAATATTTGCTCATTGAGCCACATGTGTAACTGGCAGAGATATATTCGCTGTCCCCTGACACTCTTACATCAGCTCTCTGACTTCTCTGTGCGTAACTCACACATTCAGTCACACATACAGGCACACATTGAAAAACGGCACGCACAGATGCACCCTAATGGTTGTACGCGTACACACATACTCGAGCATATTTGGCTCATGACAGATAAATGTGACAACTGTTGGCTGTTTGGAGAAATTCCCAGGAAAAATCTGTCATCGCATCGGTGTAATTCAAAGTGGGGTGGAGGGGCTGGTGCACCTGTGGGTGCCATGATCGCTCTATGTGATTAGAAGCTGTGCGGGAGAGAGGACCTTTGCAGCCTGTGATATGTGATTTGCATGAGCTGTCAGTCATCCCTGTCTTCATTCTGACAACAAGAGAAGAGCAAAATGCTTCCATGGCAACATTATTCTCGAATGAAGATGTGCTGTTTCATTTAAAACAGGCTTTTAAAGTGTTGTTTTTTCCCATTCAAAACAAACACTATAACACCTAACCAGGGAAGAATGTAGGCTTCCCCAGCCACCAGCTAATACTCCGTATTATCTTTGCTAACAGGATCACGCTCACTGTTTCAGATGAAGGGGTGGTATGAGTAACTCACAGCTACAGAGACAGATTATCTCCTTCCGTTCCCGGCGACAAAGCCCTGCTTCTTCAAATCTCTCCACAGAGCAAGTCCCCCATCTCCTTTCGAGCTTGCTGCTGTGCACTTGGGCTAAAGGTCTAACCGTTTATCAAAGAGGGAGATAACCGGGCCCATTCTTTAGGTTATTATACATACTGTCCATATATAACACTAGTGCGGTGGGACTGTCTAGTGCAGAAAAAGGGAATGGAAGAAAGATATCAGAAAAATGGAAAGATATCTCTTTATCAGCAGCTCATGAGGATACACAATTTGAAACTCTCTTTCCTGCGTGGCGCCCTGATCGCCATATAAACTCTATGAATTCAACATAAATACAATTGATGTCCCCCAGTTTTCTATTGTGTAAAAACACTTCATATGAAACTCATGGAACTTTTACTTACATGAGTAACCCGAGTGTTTTATCAGCTTAAGTTAAATCAGACTGGTTGATGGTGTATGCTTGTGTGGCTCTGAGGGTTTTTGGGGGGTTACTTACTCATGGGGTCAGCAGCGGGGTTCTCACACAGCTCAGTTTTGGCCTCTCCGTTGGGCCTCTCATTGGGCTTCTGGGACAGACGCGATGACATTGTGGCAGCGGTGACCACGGCCTTGAAACTACGCTTCCTCTTCTGTACGTTGAGCTCAGGGTGGAAGATAATGATGTACACCTTGGGCATGTAGAGCATGCCCAGTGCAACTGAGGCACTGAGGTTCATGGAGATGGTCAGGGTAGTCGTCTGAATGTACAACTGAAAAGAAGGACACGCAGGTGAAACAGTTATTCTGATATAGACAGGACTAGCATCAGAGGTAATGGAAATGGGCAGTTTCTTTCTATGCTGTATTAACTTCGATTTGCAGCTCTGTGAAGCAAACAAATAAGTCATGAGTGGCATTTAAACTCTTATCAAGAAAATGAGAGACAAGACAGCTATAATGGCTAAACATCTGTGGCCAATTACTGAACAGTCACACTGTTGCGCACAGCGATGAAGCAAAGTCTAATAATAACCCGTCCCAAAAAACCAGATATGAGCGTGGGGGAAAAGTTCATTTGTCTCTGAAATTTCCTGACTCAGACACCTGCATAGTTAGAGGACATATTTGTTAGAGAAAATGACTTAATAAATACCTCCTGATGATTTATTGAGCAGAGAAAATGTAGCATCATCAGATATGTAGGTGGTCTGGGTATTTGAGATGTGTAACTGTGGGGAAAGGAGCAGCCATGCGTGCTGTAACATAATCCAGCAGCATTTATTAAAGCCTGACCTGCAGCTACCCAGTCAAGCCAAAGACGGTTCAAGCGATTAATGACAACAGCAGAGGAATCACCACGACTTTATCAAAATGTCCTCACATGGCCTCCTTTCTCCCAGACTGTCCAGCCGGACGCCTGACGAGACTGATGAACTACACTGTCGGTCGAGGGATTTGCCTGTGTGACATGTTGCAGTCCCCTTTCCTCTCCTTTCACAAGTGAAGCATTCATCGGACTAATTCAAAGCCTCAGAGCTGCGTCTTCTGAGACTAACAGCCTATGTGGCCCCGGCTCATTTTGATGTAAATTCCTCCCAGAATACAATAAAGAGACTAAGCATGGGCTAAGAATGCTGCATCTGCAGTACACAGCAGATCTACGTTTGTCTCCCTACAGCTCTGCACAAACTGGAGTGCAGGCTGTGAAAGGCTCTCACTGTGTTAAGTGGTATCATTCATAAGATTGCCATTCATGTGAGCCCTGTACAGGTACAATCTCTTTAATTCCTCCTTCCTTTTCAGAGCCTACATAACACCTCTCGCACTGTCAAATTGTAATTGTGCCCTACCTAACCTAGACCACGCTGCAATTTAGCTTAACACACTTTATACAGTGACTACATTTGAAGGTAGTGATTTCACTGAGAGGTGTGCAAGTCAGTAATTCTGCAGACACGGAAGAGGCTCTTGTTTCATTTAAGGCTCTTGGAAGCGGGGAAAGAATCACCGCAAGAGGCTGTTTTCAAGAGCAGATCACCAGAGCCTCCCCACTAATCTACTGCACTTGAAAGCATCAAATGTCACTTATATGTAGCCTTCCAGTCCGCCGTTGGTGATATGGACGGTGGAGACAATACAATCATAAACACATTAGCTTGCAAAGTGTATCTGCAGCGCGGTGAAATCCTCACAGACGCAGCAAGAGGAAGAAATGTCACCATTTGCATACAGTTTTTCTTGGTAACTAGCATGACTAAGTAATTTCTTCCACACAAGACGGGCTCTTTTGACATGCTCTTGTCTTTCAATCTTTGCAGTTTATCCAGACGCCTGATTACATCAACATGCCAAGGCAGGCGCTCAAACGGCTTCTCTCTCTCTCCATCCTTTCCTTTTAGTGCAGCAGCAGCAGCAGCAGAGTCAGGGATCTGGCTGGTGCACCATGCATTAATAACTATATGAATATCACAATGCTCTCTGTGCACTCTGCTCAGTGTCACTCTCAGCTGTGGAAGAGTGGAAACAATGCTTTTTCTCTCGTGTGTCTTGGGCATTTCAAGTGTTTGCGGTTTCGTGTGATATCGAGGCAACTGTTCAAAGAATCGCGAGGAGTTCACACGGCGTCGAGAGATAATCAGCGGAGGATCTCAGCCCTGTTCTGTGTTTCCACGTTTGGTGGTTGGTAACCTGTCTGGTATCCATAGCAACACTTCAGAGTTTGGTGCAAGCAACTAAACATGGCTGGAATAAGCTTTTAATGAGATTCTGCTACCTTGGACGCTGAAACGCTGACCCTATCAGAGTTGATTTATTGACCGTGCAGAAGAGTTGATTCAGAAGCGGACGCCCAATAAGCATTAGATGCTTATTCATACCCATCACACACAGGTAAATACATGTACGCACATAAACACATGCGGATGTGAAGACGTTCGCTCTCATAGAGCCTTTAAATGAGCACAACCACATGCACATAATCCTTTTTTTCGTTCTGTCTCTAATCACTAAGACAGGGTTTTTTTTTTTTTATTGTGCCTCTCGATGAGCTTGACCTAAATTCTTCCCCCCTGCTCACCCTCTTCTCGAATGTTTAGCTTGTCACAAAACATTCATAATTAATTCCTGTTGCTTTAACATAAATAAATACATGAAGTCATTTTCACAACTGCTTGGCAACTCTCTATTTATAGCCGCAGAGATGATTTATTAACGCGCTCATCAGGAATCAAACAGTTGCTTCTGAATTTTACATCCCATTGACAAACCAAATGCCAACAACCAGCCTAAACAAACAACATGGTTTCTATTTAGACAAAAAAGCTGTTGAGGGTAATTCTCATAATTACACCCACCAGGGATATACTTACTGCAAAAGCAATTTCGTTGCCGATGGTTGAGTACTATAAATGCAGACAGCGATAAGGAGTTGATTCAGTCGGTGATAACTAGGATGCTCTCTGCCCCGTGAAAGAAAGCCTTTAATGGATCAGGAGCCTCTCAACCACCTGAATGTCTCTTGTTGTTTTAGGTGGCCTACTTTCAGCTCGAGTTATGAACAACTCTTCCTGGCTTTCTGCAGCAAAGTCTTATTTCATTTCAGACACACTGCTCTCTGTGTGGATACTCTTGTCTACATTTGGGCTCAGCGAGGCCCCATAACCAGGCTTTAGATTGGAAGATAAAGGGGTTATGACATATGTCCAAGCTGGAGAGGAAGTCCTTCATGATGATTCGGATTATTAATTTGTTGAATTGCATTGCCTATAACTGATTCAATGATGATATTTTGGTTGCTGTGATCAGGGTTCTTGTCTCAAGGCTTTTAAGTCTGTACTAATAGTCCAAAATTTCTTGGCAGGGATGGAGACCTTTTGCTCAAACTTAAGCATTTGGATCAAAATTTCTGTCACTCTGGGGTGCAGGCTTGGCTTTGTGGTTGAGCCATGTGCCCCATGTGAAGAGGCTATGGTATTCTGGCAGGCAGCCCAGGCTTGCAGCCACTTTTCCCTCATGTCATTCCCTACACTATCTCCTGGTTTCCTGCGCTATCCACTGTCCAATCCTCCCTGAATGAAGCCATAAAAAACCCGGAGAACAACTTTAGAGAAAGTACTGTGCTGCCGTTGTTGGGAGGTCAATTTTCTGGGTAATCCTTTGAAAGTGTCCTACTCTATGAGGGGTCCAACTTGTCAATGAAAATAAATTTGATACATGTTGACATCAACCTTTTTCTCCGCCAAAAACAACATGCTGACGTGCTTAAAATATATATTTGTGCTGACACGAGTGTTTCGTTTTTGTTGATGTTACGAAGTGGCACAGATGTTGGTTGTGGACTGTCGGATCACTAAAATCTGTGATATATTCCACCTCTGTGTCTAATCTGTCAAAGTAAGTAATGCATTCCTGTAACAAGATAAATCATCTGAGGGGCGCATGTTAATTTTGTCACTTGTCTGCAGGTATAGATTCTCATTGCCTCCATGCATCTTTCTCATCTTATTGACGTTTTTTTTAGATGCATGTGAGTGACAATGCCACAGCTTTGTCCCACAGGGCAGCAGCAGTTCACTATTTGACATTTGACATTTAGCTGCTGTTAAACAGCTCCATGTCACAGCCTTGATTTATCTGAGTTTGGGAATATCTTAGAGAGCACAATTAGTGAGAGGTTTCAGTTTGGATAAGTCATTCATCAAGGATGTCAATGCAGTTGTGCTCGCACCACAGGTAGTCCGTACAGCCTTTGCAAACTGTATTTGTGCTCAAAACACTTTGATTTGAAGTAAAATAAACATCTCAAGAGGCCAAAGAAGAAATGTTTTGCTTCTGTACGTGGAGTAAAGAACATTTCAACATATTAGCACTTTGACCAGTGTGTAATGCATTTTTCCTCAGGCTGGATTATCCGATGAAAATCATTTCAGCTATTGCACAGAAAAGTTAGGGGCGAAATATTGACACTTGGTATAACCTTGAAACCAACTTCTGATTCACTGGATGAATAATAAGAGAAACATTTTGACATAAAAAAGACTCAAATGTTTTTGACTAGATGTTTTGAGTTGTGGACTAACATGACTGAAATTATAAAGGGCAAAAATACCAAGGTGTTACCAAAACTAGAGGGTATTTTCATCCAAAGCAAAAACTTATTATAAAACACCTTCCAAAATTCATCAGGGATGGCATGCGAAGAATGAGAGGAGAGATGTCCTGACGACACTAAAAATGCTTCTATAAAGAACGGTCATTGACAAAAAGCAGCAATCTTTTCCTTCTTTTATATCTATCTGGTGCAAAGATCAAACCCTGCTTCTGCTGAAACGACTGTCTCCACTGTGGTTCACTTGTACAAAGAGGAAAACTACAGGGATGATTCCATCAAACAAACTTTGTAAGGAGTAAGAAAATCTAACTTTGACCACATTATCCTCGTAAACAAGGTCATTTAAAAAAGATGCTGGACGATATTCGAGTGAAAAAGCAATAAAAGTTGTGTTTTGACTTGATTATGTCCTGCTAGTTGGCTTGATTGTTATTGAAGATGTCTCAATTTAGTCTTAGATCCAATATAAGGTTATTTATGTTACCCCAAATTGTGTTGAAGCAGCAATAATCGAGACTTATGTTCAAGCTGTTAGAGTATTTTCTTTTTTTAAGGGTGCTCTTAAGAAAAACTGAAGTGAGACGGGGAGCACAGAGCAGGAAAAGACATGCAGCACATTGTCGTGGCAGGAAATTTGAGTTGTAGCTGCTGTTATGAGGACCTCAGGCCATGTATGTGTATATTTCCCTGCCTCTTTATCCATAAAGAGGATATAAGGTACAAGATTTCCCTCTATTCTTGGAGTGAACTTAGCAACTTAAATCTTTGAGGTCTACATTAAGTTTTCTGACCCTCACCAAACTGTAGCTATCACGGCTCTGATTTGATAACCAAACTCCTCTGTTTGCAGGTCCAGGTCATGACATATCAATTGAAAACAAAACCCACAATTTTCTACTTGAGAACTGCTTTTAACCTTTTTCAAAAAGACTCATTTTCGGGCTGTTTGCCTTCATTTGGAGAGGACAGATCAGTGGATAAAGCAGGAAATGGTAAGGGAGAGAAGGAAGATGTTGGAAGAAGGCCTCAGGCTTGATTCAAACCCAGGACACCCACATGAGGCACAACCTCTGAGCATGTGACGTATGTGACGTGCTAGGACAGCGGTGTCCCCGATGTAAAAACCGGGGACAAACTTCATCTTAAATTTTTCAAAAGACACCACATCTCCACATTAAGTGTCAGGTCAGACTCGTGTCAAGTGCAGGAGGGTGGGAGGATTATTTTATCTAGCTAAAAGCTGGAACGGGAGTGTTTTGGCTGCGGCCAGTTTGTCGTTGCTAATGATAGCTGGCAGCAGGGTCTCTCTCTACGAAGGCTCGTGGGTTCAAGAGACACCTGACGGAGGTTTAAGTGGTTAGCAGACATGCAGGCAGGAATTTTAAGTATAAATGGCACAAATTTATCCTCGCATGACCGAATCCTGTCTCTGCTTTATCAGAAAGTTTCTGTGTTTTGCAGGAAATGTTTCACTGAATCACCATCTGCTTCATAACTGTGAAAAAGTTGCGTTTTGCGGTCGATGAATAAAAGAGTTTTTGTGTTCGGTGACAGCATCCATTAAATCATCTTGCTAGTTTCATTTTTCAAAAAATAACATTCGTAGTCCTGAAAATCGGCTTTTGGGCCATTGTTTTCACTATTTTGCACATTTTTATGCTGTCAGATTGTTAAAAAATGTGTGTTGAGCAGTGCCTCGCAGACAAGTAGTTTGTTTTAGAAGTCACTTGATCTCAAGGCCTGATGACAGCTGGATGTGGATGTCAGTGACTCTCAAAGTAATTAACCCGAGAGTGTTGAGTAGTTGACTGAGCACATGCAGGTGCGCGGGAGGCAGGAGGAGGGGGTGCTCTGTGATCTTTTGTTTCCGATTTCGCATGACATCTTTCCATCGAAGTTTGAATGGAAGGGAAAGGGAGTCACAGGTGTGGAAAATAAGAACATCTGAATAACAGTAAGTCAGAGAATGGTCTTTTTAGCACAGTTACAACCTCTGCCTTAACATACTACAACCAAAATACAAATAGGATCAAACAGTAGTCAGTATTTTTATGGATTATCACGAGCAGCTGCAATCATATCACTTCTGTGTTTTCACACATTATCCAATATTGGACAACCCGGGTTAAGAGAGACTATTCATATCTGCGTGGGTGTGGGGTCGAATTTGCACTTAAAAACACAAGAGGGCAAAGTACTTAAAAGTGAAGATGCAGTCAAATGCACCACAATGGATCACACAGCCTCCTCATTCACCTACAAATCTACTCCTGAGCACGTCCACATGTGGTAGTGTGATCTTTCAGCGCCATACAGTCGACTCTCTGCAATAGGGAAGAGTCTTACGCGGACACACTCTAATTCAGAGTCATCCTTTATAGTCTGTACTGCAGTCGCAGCACCTCTGGTAGTCTGAGTTTGTTTTGGGGATTTCAGTGGGAGGTGAATCTTGCTGGAGTTTTAAAAATAAGTGGCCTGAAGACAATCTGATGAAGTGTTTTTGTCCCTTTCGGTTACCACAAAAAAAAAGTCAGACCATTTACACACTGGGAATGTGTGTGTTTATTTAAGATCATCACCCTTTTGAGATGGTGGCAGAATTACTAGCAGGTTAAATGAATTATTAATCTCTTTTTTTAATGAAGTGGGCCCACGGTGGGGGAGCATCGGGGAATAAGCAGAGCTCCCTACAACTATGGTGCCCAGATTAGTGTTCAGCTCAGTAATTCAGTGACCCTGTTAACAGCCATCTTTTAGCCGTGGTTGTCATAGTTACAACACCTGCTGAAAAGTGAAATGGTCCCTTTTGATTTTGATGTCAAGACTTACTCATGAGCTAATTCTTGATAAATAATGAACCAAAGCGTCTGCAAGGGCTCTTTCATTAGCTGCTCTAACGGTGATAATCACACACACATCGCCTGAATTAGAAGTAGACAGATTATTGGCCTTAGTTGATTACCGGGGCCAGTATTTGGCAATCAGTCGTCTGTTGAATTTTATGGACATCCAAAAGAAAATTATTTAAAATGATTTATGCAACCCCCACCAGCACAGAGGTGTGGTGCAGCTTATACTGGTGCAAGCCAACAGCTTGGAGTTGTTGAGGCTTATGAAGAGTTGCCAAATATATGCTTAAGTGACAGAAATAAACGCCTTACAGGTGCTGTTATACACTGTATGGATGAGGGGATGGTGCGGTTTTCCATGGTGGATAAACGGACATTTAGTTAGTGCTTTAAAAACCTGACAACAAATTAAGAAGTAAATATTAGCAGTCTAACAATCCACCTTTACCTCTGCTGCAACAGAAAGAGTCCCCACCATTCAAGTCCAGTAAAGGACTTACCGTATTTTAAGGCACACCATCGATGAATGCTTCTATTTGCGTCTGTTTTCATACATAAGGCGCACCGGATTATAAAGCGCATTAAGCCAAACAAAACATTCAGATAAGTCAAACTTTAATTAACTTATTCAATAACTCTGCAAGGCTACGGTAGCTGCAGTGCTCTGACAAGCCAAAAGGATTTTAAGTGCGCCCTATAGTGCGAAAAATACGGTAATTCAAATACACTGTATCCATTGACATCTATGAATTACTTTAAACCTACAGAGACATGTGATCTTTCTCAAGTTATCAACAACCTTAAAGAGCAGGGTTTGAGTCCTTCCTCTTTCTAGGCCCAAATACTACCAGTGATGGGAGTCCAGACACCTTTTCAGAATCAGATGAAGAAGAAGAAGAAGAAGAAGAAAGAAGAAGAAGAAGAGCTTTATACTCAGCAGTAAAGATTTAGCTGCTCAGTTTCTAAACCTCATGTTCTTGTTAATAGATAACTGGAAAGTAACGTAAATAAATAACTAGTAACAGATAAACATGTTTCAGCTGCAATCGAAACACCTGTCGATTTCACTCTTTGAAAAAACGATGAATTGCTTTAGGAGTGTTTTTCACCTTCAGATTATTTGGCTTGTCAGAACTTAAATTTACATAGAACTAACCTGTAAATAAGTTGTCTAGAAACATCTATACTACAAATTAATTCTCAGCGATCATCCCATGACGTTATTTTAAATTTTGTAGAAAAGGCATGCCAGTAAATAAAGCTCTAGTAGAAACACGTCGCACATTGAGCTTTTAAGTTAGCTTAAATAATGGGACAGACGACTTTATTTCACCCCAACTACACTTTGCAGAGGATGTTATCAAGACATGCAAAGCCACTTCTCACCCAGCAGCACTAGGGAGTAAGAAGAAACGCACCAACCAAGGCCATTACCGGGCCAGGAGGTGGTGGTGTGAACTGAAGGTGAGGGAGTCAGGAGCGAGTGTGAAGAAAGAGTTAACTGCATAGAGGGGAAAGATAAACACATTACTGCCTTGCCAGTCGCCGCGAGTAGCATAATGAACTCCTAATCGCTGCTGAGGGTGTAATTCATCTATGAAATCAGCAGCAAATTGAGATGAGGAAAATCAGTTTCTGATCCATCTCATGCGCTAGCTGAGGAGGGAGGATATTGAACGGTGTGCCTCTCAAAAGGTTAGGAGTAACACTTTCCTGTCAGCATCGATATTCTGTCAGCAGAAAACTTCCCCCACGCTCTGGCTCGTACACACGGCCCGCCAGGCAGCACGCAGCAGCTCATGAGTGCGGCAGATGAATGCATCTGTATTCTGCTTGGTTCCAGCCAGATAAGCAATGACGAGCGCATCAGGTCAAAATGTCAGATTCTCAATCAACTCTAGTTGCGGCCAATGTCAAACGCTTTGTCGAGTAGAGCGCCACTGTCAAGAGATGGAATGTGTTGAATCAAACTTCTATTTACCCCCTATTTCTCCCTGCCTTCCTCCTCCTCCTCCTCCTCCTCCTCCTCCTAATTCCTCCACTTCCTCAACCTGCTTGTCTCCCTCTCCAGAACAAGGCATGATGGTACATGTTGAGCCCTCAGCATGAGAGCAAAGATAATGGCGTCTGGAGCTGCCAGCACCCCCATCCTGCCACGTCTCGGGCATTTCAGGGTTCTGGCGCTGCAGGTGCCTATTTCTGTCTGCAGTGGTCGAGTGTGGGTTTCCAAACCCATGTGAAAATAAAATCAAAAGACAATAAACCCATGACTTATAAAGTTGCTAAATATTCGTGTTACAGAGTGTGTGCTACTTTTGTGTTTTCATTTGTGTTAGCGCTAATAAGCATGCGTGCGTGTGTTTGGACAAGATAAAAACAGGGCTGGAGGTATGAAAGGAACATTGATGAGAGGAGGGAGAGAGGCAGACAAAGGAAGGGGTGGCGACAAAGACTGAGACAGAGCAAAAGAGAGAAATGACTCACCTTCTCTGCCGACTGGGCCGTGCCAAAGAAAATCGGGATGAAGGCCAGCCAGACTATGCAAGTGGTGTACATAGTGAAGCCGATGGGTTTGGCCTCGTTGAAGTCTTCTGGTACATCCCTGGTCTTGATGGCGTAGATGGTGCAGGTCACCATCAAGAGGATGCTGTAGCCTAATGAGCAGATTATCTGCAGGTCTGTGATGTCGCACTTCAAGACGCCGCGGGCCAAATCGGGGTCGATGGTTTTCTGCTCATCATAGTCAACGATGGTGTTTGGAGGGTCCACGGCGAACCACACCAGAACACCCAGCAGCTGCACACAGATCAGACTGGAAGTAATGGCGATTTGCGAGGTGGGGCTGATAAAGCGCGGGGCCGTGACTGTCTGTTTGCCTTGCTCAAAGATCCGGTAGATTCGGTTGGTTTTTGTAAGCAGCGCTGCGTAACTGATGCACATGCCCAGGCCCAGGAAGATCCGCCTGAAGGCACACACAGCTACGTCAGGCTTGGCAATCATGAGGAAGGTGATGATGTAACACAAGAAGATGCCAGTGAGCAGCACGTAGCTCAGCTCTCGACCCGATGCCCGCACGATGGGTGTGTCATTGTAGCGTACGAAAGTCGCCATGACGAAGATGGTGGCGATGATGCCAAGCATGGCCAGGAAGACGGGGATGATTGCCCAAGGAGAGTGCCACTCGAGCTTGACGATGGGGATGGGTTGGCAGGCGGTTCTATTGGGGTCGGGCCTCATGTTGTAGGCACACAGTCTGCAGGAAGTCTCATCATACTGGTACTGGTAGCCATCACAGAGCTCGCAGTGCCAGCAGCACGGCATGCCCTTTACCCTCTTCTTCCTCTCGCCAGTTTCGCAGGGCAGGCTGCACACAGAGAAAGGCACCTTCTGCTCCCCATCTGGCCACTGAAGCTCCTCCAGCTGGGAGAGAAATGACACACGGCACAGGAAGAGAGGGTTAGCAGAATGATTAAACCACTGATTATGAGCAAACATTTAAATGATGAAGTACAGCCAATGTTTACTGACTTTTCCAACTTTCTCACTGACCTCTGATTAGTACATTCTTTCCAAAAAAACAAAAAGATGGGTGCGATCTTTTCAAACTTTATTTTATTTTTTACACATTTCCAGAAAAATAAAACAATTAACGTAATAAATTAAAACATCTTTCCAATTCCTTTCAAGGATTGCTTTTCTAACACTTGAAGTTAATTGAAATCACCATGGCAACTGAGTCTACCTTTGTTCCGTGAAAAAAAAAAAAAGAATAATAAAGCAATGTGAAATGCAAAAGACATTATGTTTTAATACAGGAGCCACTGAGGTATGAAATACGATGATAAGGGGGGAGAATGGGATTTGGAACCGTAAAACGCCTCTTTTAGGCTTTGCAGAGCTATTTCTATTTATGATCTTGTCATCAAAATGAGAAGTACAGCACACAGGCGCACTGTGGAACTATCTGAAAGTCCAATATGAAAAAAAGCCCCACGGTATTTCATAATTCAAATTTAAACCATAGACCCAACTTGCGAGTTCGACTTGCAAACTATGAAGAAATAGAATTTTTTAAAGCTCTCACATAGTTTGTTAGGGCGCTAAAAAGGCGCTCATAATTCTTTGAGTGAATCTTTTGATTCCTTCTGAAAGTGTACTCTTTCATGGCTCTAAAAGCAAAAGAAGATTAAAGATGCTGCAATGGGGTTCAGACAGTTTCCCAGCAGCAACAGCCAACTAACCAAAATAAATCAATTGGAGAGCAACAAACAAAAACAGGAGCAAATCATTGAAAACTGTTGTGTGGCATGATTGTTAAGATAATGTTTTATTGTCTTCTCAAACTGCTTTAATGATGTGGACTTAAAGAGGCACTTTAAGGCTTAACAAGTTACGGTAAAACAGAACGGCTGCGTGTAAAAACTACGTTGGAAATAAGCAGAAATTAACTTCAGTAGCAGCTTTGTGCATTATGCTTTGATGTAGAGTGAATTTTTGACTCAAAGGTACCAGGATAAGTCCTGGCTTTCCAGAGCTTAATGCGACAGCTTCCTTTGAGCGTGGAAGGTGTTTTTCTCGTGGTTTTTCACAGGAACTCACATGCACCTTGTTTCACACTGTTCCAGCAATCTACAGGTGGCAGTAATGTGTCAAGAAACAGCAATGTGTGTCTTCCAAGGAAGGAAGGTAAACGGTTACCTCAGAACGTGCAAAGGTTGAGAATTGCCTTTGCAGAAGTAGATATATGTAGACGGTGCTTGTTAGACATTCAAAGAAATTGAATTTTTGTTTGTGTGTGTAAGAGTACAGGTCACTTTTACAGGCGCTCTGAGGAGAATTCATGCTGTATTGATTCTCCAGATGAAATTGGTTCTGTTTTTCTGGGAAGAAGACTGCGGATCCTATGAACAGAATCACCCACTGTCACACAGATGCGGCTCTTGGAAGCGAACAAATAGACTACAGATCTTTATTTTTTTATAAGACTTCTCATTTTGCAGAGTGATGAGGTGATGCATTGATTTTTTACATTCATTTTTAACGGTGATGTGAACCCTAATTTATTTAAGTTAATAAACTAAAAAATTGTAACCAGGTATACCAGTTTCATGTGAACTGTCGTGATATTTGCTTCAGTGTGCTAATAAACTCCCAGATATGTCAATATGCTCACAATTAAACTATTTATACCTAAAAGAGGAGTGAAGCACTCACACAGCGGCAGACACACTAAATCCTGTTCAAAGACATTTTGTTCTTTCATTCTCAGAACGCTCTGGTTATAAAGTTTCTCTGCTAAAAACAATTCTTCACCGGAAATCGTACATCTTTTTTTGCTTATCTTGTTCCAGTCTCAGCCAAGAGTATAAAACATGATGTAAAGAGGAAAATTACCTAAAAGACAAGAAGCACCTCCTGCTCGCTAACATACCCCTCACTTCAAATTTAATAGTAGAGTTTCAAACGTAGACACTTCGGCTGAGTGCTGCTTTATGGTGAAAATTTGACCCAAACAAAAAAATTCAGACTGGAGATATTAGCATAATATAAGGAGGCCTCACTATAAAAGTGAGACAATTCAGAACCAGTGGGAAAACTCTCCACAGTGCCCCTAATGCAGGAGTGATTGTTACTTGTTTTATCATTTGACTGGATGTTGGAAAATCACTGATTAAAAATTCCCACTTATCTCTTTTGCTGCTGTAAAAACACAACTTTTCAGTTCTAAACTGCAGCTGTATTTCCAAGGATTACAGAAACAAGATATAACATGCTAATTAGCGAGCATGGTAGGTGGGTTTTTGTCAAGCTCAGCTACATTTTCATTCTGGCTGTGCCTTCATATTAAGCATACAGAAATGACAGCAGCGACAATACTCTGAATTAACTCTTGGCAAGTGAGTAAATCAGCCTACTCCCCAAAATGTCAAAATATCCCTTCAAACACAGTTCTGTTTTTCTTTCGGTTTCTGTGCTGTGAAATGGATTTTTAAGCAGTGTGAGCAAACATCAAACATAAACTGTTAAGTCTCCTCACTTATGTCACTTTACAGTATGAATTATGTAAATCAAAATGTGGTTGCATCAAACATGAGTCTGTCTAATGATAGGAACAGCATCACCTCCTGTGAATGTAGTAACTACGGATAATTACACAAACAGCTGCTACACTTTTGCAGCACGCACAAGCGCACACACCCACACCCACACGTGTGTCTTTGATGTGTTTGGGTTGTGTATACCTGTATGACAAATGTGTTGTTACTCTGGTGTCTAGATAGATTATCAGGTGCCATTTATCTGAGGGCATGAAGGTGCCATTTGTTATTTGGACAATGAATGGTACTCTCTGGAAAACCTCCCGATTACACACAGTGTGGAAACAGTAATGAGACCAACAGCCCTGTTGCCATGGAGACCAGTGAGATTTTTGACACCTCGGACTCGTACGGCTGCCATATTGGGTGTTTTGTTTTAGCCGTTAATTTTACAGTTAATTTGAGTTTCTGTGAGCTGGAACGGCGTAACATTGTCCTCTTCTATCCATGATCACAGAGTGTGAAAAGAGGATGCTTATTCCAGTATAACCTTTAAATTATGATGCTCTTTATGTTTTGCTGAACAAAGTGATAGCTTCTGCATCGGGGTCTAATTGCACTGTAACAGCGCTCTGTTTGTAATCACACTAAAACAGAGTGAAGCACAAATCTCCAGCAGCAGACGTTGTTCCACCTGCGCTATCAAATCCATTGGGTTGAGTGTAATTCTTGTGATCCAGAGAGCCATTATGCAAATGTTAACTCATCTGTATGTTAATGTCATGTTATTTTTTTTTTTGTAATCGGAGTTACATAGAAATACTCAGATCTTTCAGCTCAGGTTCATCTTATCATACAGTATGAGCAATTTCAAGCGATGTCCACCTTGACAAAACATCGGTTTCTTTATTGTCCACATGAATCACACACAGACCATTCTTCGGCCGTGACAGTGAGATCTATTACAGCGGCTACAAACCAATACCTGCACTTTAAAAGCAGCTCTGCAGCCGACTACAAGCCTACACTTAACCTGGGTATTGAACTGATTTTGTAGCTGAATTTAAGTTATTTAAGGCTCCTGTGAAATGAAAACTGCCTTATCTGTGTTTCTGCACTATAGGTTCTACTAAATTTTGAATATGCAGAAAGGGGAATTGCATTTTCAAAAAATATTCCCATTAAATCCTGTGCTTTCAGGCAAAGAAACCCAAACCTTTATGAGATTTATCTGCCGCTTTCAGGTGTGCCTTAATAACAAAAATGTGATCACAGATTTAGAGTTTCATCCTGTACAGTAAAACCTGCAGTAAAGCTACCGAACGACAGGAGCACCGTGAGAAATGTGTATTTAGGTGTCAGTTTCCAACAGCATCAACTATCTCGGCAGCTTTCTTGCTGCCAAACGACAAACACACACGCACACAAACACACACATGCGGTCTAACACTCAGGGTTAAAAACATGTTCTTCCTCCTCCCACTCTCTTTCACCATCAGTCCTCCAACCTGAGCAGTGGGAGAGGAGTCATCTCCAACAACTGATTATTGTCTGTTTTTCTTTCTACCTCATTCTTTCGGTGCTGAGCTCTCAAAAGAAGCCCTCACTTTTATTTCAGGCTTATTAGTAGGTAGAAACATATCAAACTCCTTTTTAATTGCAGACTAAATCTGACAGACTTCAGTTACCCCATTTGATCCCTCTTCATGTGCTTATTTTAACATCTCCTGTCAGCTTAATTGCATGTTGTTCTCTCTTTTTAAATGCAGCTGTTTGAAAATGTGATCACCTTTGACAAAATCATCTTTTAATTAAAGATTTGCCTTATTTAATGAAGTCGAAAAGTAATTTCCTTCAGGACTTTGGAATATGCTTCTCATTTGGCTAACATTAGTACGCAGCAGTTTGACAGAAACGTATTTGTTTGGGTTATAAATGTTTTCTTTTCATTATCAGGGGGAAAAATCAAACCCGAGGAGTTAGTTTGGTGCATTTATCTTCTTGTTAGAGATAAGCACTTCGTTTTTGCTAGCTCAATCGCACAGACTAATTCATTTTTTAGCCTAAAACATATCAATTAAACTGAAAGTAAAATGCATCGGCACCTAAGCTCTCTTCGTGTTTCAGATGCAAATAATGTGCCCCCTCTGTCACACTAGAGATTTCAATTTTGCTAAACACAGTATTTACGCTTGTAATTTTTTTAGCAATGCTGAGCCTACATATCCTGGTTAAATACAGGCATTTAATCGACATTTGACAACCTTTGTGTGGGTCCTGTGTTGGCATTATATGCAAAAGTGTCATACCCTGAGCTGGAGCGACTCTACCCACTGTCCCACTGACTTGTACTCCGGGGTGGAGGAGTTGGTCATCTGGAACTGGAACAGGTCGTAGCGTCCTGGAGCATCACCGTTTTTGTTAAACACAACAGAGGTGCCGGCGCTGCCTGTGCAGAGGGATAGAGAGAGAGAAAATGCAGCAGAAGGACAGCGGGGGAGAAAATTGTTAGACACTGGTTTGGTAGAGTGCAGCATCATTTTTTAAAGAAGACATGAACTTTTGACCTGTCGCCTCTCTCTGTGCTTGGGCCTACACGGACCATACATAAATAGTCAGTCCCTCTCATTTAAAACCTCCAAATACATTGACCTTTATGCTGAACCTTTATTATAACGACATACAGGGTCCCGTCTGCCCATATAGCACTCCCCTTCTGCTTCCTATGCACCACTGCATCTGCACAATAGCAACTACAGGAATACAAATTCGCACATGCAAACCACGGTTGGCCTCTCCGCCCTGCGTACGAGTATCAGAAATGGTTTGCTATTTTCGAATGCACACGGCACTCCTCGTGTTGGAAATGCATTTCAGTCACACAGTTGGCAACAATGGGACATATAGAGAAGATCGGCAGGTCAGCCAAAGCATCATACGGTCCCCATCTGCTCTCAGTGTGTAGCAGCCTGAGTCAAGCAGAGCCCTGAAGATTTCGCTAATTAGCTCAGAGAGGACTGCGGACAGACACCTGAAACACAAAATGTGTGTCTTCTCCCAACCTGTCAGGTGGGGATGCATTGGTGTTTGTGTGCGCGTTGTTTGATATGAGTACAGAGCCCGCAGAGTGCGTGTTCGTGCATGAGGAAGTGTGTTAATGCAGATGTCAGTCAACATCAGATCTCCCTGGCAGAAGCGAATGTTGACTGGCATTAATGGGAAAAAGCGGTTGTTGCCTTTTTTTTTATACATGAGGGCTGCATTGTTGATGAGGTCATTTGTACCATCCCACAATGCTGAGGGAGAGAATGAAAACTGCTGCATTGTACAACTAGTCTATTCACCTTGGCACTACATACTGTGAGCTCGAATGGAGATACCATTTTTGAAATGGGACAGGGGGGAGTCTGATGGTGCATGACATGGGAATTAAACGCTGTAATAGCTCTGGCTATAAAAAGTGTGGAGGCAGGACCAGGAGCACATGTCCAAAACACTTTTGGGAACATGTTGGTTTTCGAATCTGGAACAGAGCGTGTGGCTTTTGGACTGAAGGCCATAGCACCTTTTTCCTTAGTTTGCAGCCAGAAGGGAATTTCATCTCCCCTGGTTTTTGTGTTTTTCAAGGACATTTGTCATTGAACATTTTACAAAAGTTTCTAGCCAAGGGCTTCATGTAAACAAGAACAGCAGAGGTGGCAAGAGGGAAAGGCCATTTCAGGTGACAGGATAGGGGGCAGTTCAAATAAAATACTGTTTACAAGCACCAACAGTTTTGCTTTTGACTCTTCGGCACAATTCTGAATTACAGATGTCCGCATATAAGTGGCTATTTCCATGATGATGTGGGTCATTTTCCCTCTGTATCTGCTAAAACAGCACTTATAGTCCACACTTACTACTTGCATCCAGAGGCATTTGACCCATTACCCTTTCTGTTTCAAAGTCAAACACTGATTTCTTTGATGTGTCAGCCCCAGACAAAAGCATGACGGCTGCTCAGATTGAATTCAAACCTACATGTGAGGCTCATAGCGAGAACTCTCCCACTCTGAAAACCAGAATAAAGATCGGTGGGTGGCAGTCACCGTCCTGTCACTTCTGCTTCCACCAAACAGACACCAGACTTGTTGACACAGTGCATAAAGATGTTGACAGGGTATTGACTCCTGTGAGCAAATGCTATGACAGGGTTACCATTCTCGCTTGCACCGCCCCAGCAAAAAACACGCACAAATAAACAAACTCGAAGTCGTTCAGCGAAACGACGTGAGTGATTGGGCACTTGGCGCTCTTCAGCTTTAGAGCTAATAATTAAGCAGCATTTCTGCGTGTGGAGATAAAACGCATTAGGAATTCCTTTGTATTTCTTATTGCCTGGCACTGGCAAGGAAATGCAACAAAAGGCAAAAGGCAACAAAATGCTCTGTGTAGACTCCATAGTGGGAAAGCTGTCTAAGATGAAAGATTTATGCATTTGCATGTGGCTGTGAACTAAGACATGACAAAAGTGAACTGCTGCTGTGCAGAGCGGTGTGGGTGGACTGGGGATCCACTGCTGTGTTTCTCTCGCATCATTATTCTCTCCTTTTTTTCCTGCCTCTCACTCTTCAGCTCTGTGACTTGGGCGCAGTGGGGAGATCAACAAAGGAGGCTTACACTCCTTCGCTCTCAAACATACATTAGCAGCAGCGCACACACAGGATAATGCGCACGGTTCCAGTTTAAATGCAATAAGGGGCAGCGAGATATGCCTGAGCCACAACAGTAGAAAGGTTTGAGAATATAATAGCTGGACTGAAAGAGGCAGAGGAAATAGAGAAGGTGCAGATCTTATTTTAGACTCAGGTGAAATGAACCTCTTTCACTGCTGGTGTCACACTGAGCTAAATGTTTTTTGGAAGCTGGAACATTTGGAAAAAAAAAAGTGAGCACAGGCCCAGATGGTTTTTGAGATTGGACAGCAGATTGTCAATCCCATGCATGAATCTGCACTTACTTAAGCACCCCCCTCACATCTAAATACTGCCTAGGAGACTGCAGTTTCTTCCAACCATCTAAAGCCTTTATTACATCCTTTTTTTAAGCCTTTATCACACCCTGAATAAAGCCTTTATCACATCCTTTATAGAGCCTTATAACACTGTTAATAACACCCTTTATTAAGCCTGTCATACACCCTTTATTATGCCTTTATCACACCCTTAATGTAGCCTTTATTACTTTACCATTCAGCAGCCCAGATGGTTTTTGAGATTGGACAGTGGATCCCATGCATGAGTCTTCACTTACTTAAGGTCGCCTTGGCATCTAAGCGCTGCATAGGAGATTACAGTGTTTTTGGTGCCACCTTAAAATCTAAGGGCTTCTTTCCTGCTGGAACTCTGCATCGCTGCCATAGCGACAGAGTTGAAGACAGCCAGGCAGCTCTGTAGCCCCGGGTTCACTGACGATTTATTTTTATGCGTTTATTTAATAATTAACTGCAAAAAAAAGTCATTAGTCCTATGAAACGTGAACAACATATCGCTTACACTGACCTAAAGCTGTAAAATGTGCCTTTCAAAACTTTCAAAAAAAGACTGAAATTAGCAGAAAATATTGGATTGGCAGAATAGCCTTGCTCTGAAATACCCTACTCCTCTAATCTATGTCTGCAAACCACTTAAAACCCCCTGCATACATTTATAACAAGTTTGTGTCTTCCATGTTGCTGCTGTTTTAACTAGTAGTACAACAAATGTGCAATAATCCACAGCTTAGTGTTTATCCCCAAATGTGTCAAGTCTTTCTTTTCTGTTAAAATTGTGGTTTTGAGCTTTATTGTGTCTTTATTGTGTGAGAGCATAATGGATAAAGAAGAAAGTTAAGAAGGAAGATGGGAGAATGACATGCTTTAGGGAGCCAAAGGCTGAAATTGCACCTTACCACTTTGAGAACTATAGCCTCTATTACTCTAGGTGTGTAAGCCTGACTGAATCCACCCAAAAAAACAAGTCCTCTTGGACCAAAACCCATTTTTCTAGATTGGAAGTGTCACCTGATTAAGGTCGGTCGGAACAAAATAAATCACCTCGCACAACAACAACAAAAAAAAAGGGGCCAAATTGAAATTTAGTCTATAAAAGGAGAAGCAATTCCCTCCCATACAATCTTCAATGATCTTAAGCAATTAAGTTTATGCTAAAGGCTCAAGAAAAGCAGCATCCTTAACAAATACAACATAATTACTTTGGGAAAGTGTTCTTAGTTTGCAGCAAAAATTTAAGCAGACTCTCTGCGAAAGTCTCAATGCTTCTTCATTATTCAACCTGTGTAACACTGCAGTTTATATTTAGAAGTACACACTGGAGTGAATCAAAGTCTGAAATAAAAACAGGGTGTCAGAACAATACAGTTACCCCACTTAAGTACATGCTCGTACGATTTCCCCCTACGTACAAAGCATCATGGTGAAGTGTTATTTTAAAGACAATGAGCTGGATCTGCTTCTAAAAGTAGGACAGTTTTGTGAGAAGATTAGGATGATTCCCTTACTTAGAAGAGCTGAATCTTATCTGGAACACTTTGTGAAGACTCAGTGTACTTCAGAGCAGCAGAGAACGATCACTGGCTGACATACATGCCGGCACATTCGTAACGACAAAGGTTTCGCTTGTTTTAAACTGCGCTCCCACTTGGCTCTCTGCCTGCCCTCCCCTTTTGCATTTCAGAGCAGTTATCATTAATAGCTATTTGTCATTAATTGTTAAGTATCTTCCACATCCCTCTCCGTACAGGGCTGAATAATGTAGAGGTTCAAGTACGGGCAGACCCATAATAAGTCATATTGGCTACAAATATTTCAGAGAGCCAGAAAATGGTTTTTGAAATTGAGTTCAAATTGTAGCCAGCCCACAAGCAAGCACGGGGAGACAATCTTGCATCTAGCCATGTTTGTAGTGGGTTTTAACATCAGCAGATTAATGCTTATACATTATATTATAGGCATTTATTCCAGAGTTGTGTTAAGCACTCACTTATGATAGGTCAAAACTGCTTTTCTGCTCTGAACAGACTGTGGCTCATATCTCAGGCTTTGGCGGATAAACTGGAATCATATTATTCATTTATGTATGGTCCATTTCTAAGAACGGATACAATATCTATGGACAAACTGGGAACAGCTGTCCCATGCAAGTATCAAATTGTTTATGGCAGATGCTTTATTTGCAACCCCTGTCCTTTTTGGAGGATTTTCTTGGAATAAAGTATGAAAACAAAAAGTCAAAAGGGGAAAAAGAAAAGTGGTAAAAGTAAACTTATGAGCTGACTTATAGAGATGTCCACAGAGTTGACCATGGCACACAAAGTAAACAATGACAAAGAAAAAGATGGACAATGATCTCTTTGGGTCGCCATGTTAGAAATGTCGACTTAAACAAGCTTTTGATCGGCCTCGACACAGGCGAAGAGGAGGAGCTAAGGTGGGTTTGTGTCCTCAAGGCAAACATCTACAACTTGCTTGTCCGTCAAATCAGCTGTGCCCATAATAATGTGCAAACAGTGCCCCATGTATCCCACTCCAAATTAAATCAATTATCCTTTTAATGTATACACAGATTCCCTTTCCCGTGTGTACAAGGAAAGAAATGAGCTGTACAGACCAGAACAAGAGTGTAAATGTGTCAGGTTTTACTGTAAAAATGAGCAGTGCAACATGGGTGTTAATCAGGCTTTCTGGGTCTTTGGAGCCAGCATCTAGTGGACACTTAGGAAATCGCAGTTTATTACACCTTAATTTTTTTGGCTCCATTTTTCGAAACTGGAGGTTGCTGCTTGGCAGTAAACCTGAGCTGGAATACACAACACAGTATGGGACCAATCAAATCCTAAAGACTTGTAAATGAACATGAAATGGGTTTTTGTTGTTGTAAATAGCCATGAAATGCATGTTTAATGAGCAGAAACGCCTTCAGTGTGACCCAAGAGCCCTCTAATACAGATCGAAACATGGCAGGGTTATACTCGGTGACAATCAAATGTGCAGGTTTCTCTGATGGGCCACTCACCGTTAAAGCTGGTGTTGCGAATGTACTTCAGCAGAGTCTTCCCTTCGGCGGTCTCCATCTGTGGACAAACTCCAGGGTGATCAGGACACAAGTCCCTGTGCATGTTGTGAAGCGCGTGGGCCATGGCGTACACCGCGTCAATCACAAACTGCACCTTCCCTTCCTGCTCATACTTGGAGTCAATCCCAATGCGCTCCTGGCCTGAAGAAAAAAGGGAAAAAAAGCACAATTGGACTTTATATCCCCCTTAAGAACTCCCTGCGATCTCCATCTTCATTTTCAGTCTTCCATTTACTATTTGCTGCTTGTTCTGGGTTTGTCAGATTTACACCTAGAGGGACCATATGACACAAAAAGAAGGAGACACATTAAATTCCCGAGTCTGAGCGTCACGCTGAGCTGTGAGACATAGTGTTTTTGACTCAGAATTACTGCGGTGTATCACAAAGTAATAGACAGCTCAGAACAGACCTCACTTGTCCCATTTGCAAGGTGATGAAGATCACTGTGAACTTTCGTAACATACTCTTCCACAGTAGCTCTCTGCTCTTTTATATCCTCCTCCCAGTGTACTGCCCTTTCACTATGGGCTGCCATAAAGGTTTAGCCTCTACAGCTGATACACTGAATGAATGCATAATGTACAAGCCCCTCTGGATTTCTGTTTCTGTAAAAAATCCAAACGAGCTTTTTTTATACTCCAGGAAGATGAAACCCACGATTCAAAGAGCGAATTAAAATCAAACAACAAAAACACTACTATTACTTGAGATAATAATAATAACCGTCCTCCTCATGATCATTATCATTAGCATCATTATCTTAACATTTAAGCACCCAGTAAACCAAAATGATGAGGAAGAGAATAACTTTGAATATTAAAAGAAAATCCTCTCCTCAGTGATTGCTGTTTATAGCTCACATGTGGAGGAGCGCACGATGTTAATAGGACACATATAAGGCTGAGGGAGACTTGCACACTGAGAGAGGTCAAAAGCAATCTGTGCTGACATTTCAGCCCATTCCTCATAACTTAACATACATTTCAGCCCACACATAACATCTTTGCTTTTCACAGCGCCCTGCATAGGGTGCTAAATGGACAGTCTTTGAATGCAGAAGCCTCTTTCTTGCCTTGTGTTCGGAAATATCGGCTCAGCTTGAGGTGTAAAAGAATAAAGAGACAGCCATTTTCACTGGAATTGAAAGAAGAGGGAAAAAAAAAAAAACTTTGACTGTCATCTTGCGAAGGGTTTGTGGGGTTCACTTGATGAATGAGCATCTTCTGTCTTTGACGCATGATAAAAGACGCCAAACAGGAGATTATAAATGAAACGAAATCCCTCAGCAAACACTAATTTGTGTCACACTGCCTTCACCATCATCACGTATGCATGCAAGATTAATACAGCATCCCACATTACAGGCATCACCCTGGTAGATAATACATGCAGTGCAATGCCTGTCATACTGTCAGAAGGCAGTGTTTAGGTAATACGAACATGCATCACTGTTGAAAACGCCTCCATCAATGCCTACACCAAGCTGAATTTGGGCTCTAACAGCATTGACACGGCTTTCTCTCATTGTCCCTGTAACTTCCCACCAAAATTAAGTATGCTCCGGCTCCGTTTGCACTCACAGCACGGCTGAGCTGAGCTGTCAAGGTGACTGGGTTAAGGCGAAAAAGAGGGAATATGGGATTTGAGAGTTACAGGACATTAGCCACAGGAGCAGACGGTATGTAACTGTACTATGACTAAGACACGTGGTGCATTATTATTCTAATAATAAACCCAGCCTGTCCTCCACCCGCTGGGTGAAAACACCTGGTGTTAGAGTCTGTGACTGTGCTGCAGACAAGAGAGAGGCTGAATTGAAAATCCCAACAGTCTCTCTGCAGCGTCTAATGGGAACAAAAGGTCAAGTTCACATCAACCTGACATAACAGACTTGAAATATGCATCATCCATTAGTGTAGAACAGAAATATTCAGAGTTTGCTCATGTCAGAACTGGTGTACCTGTGCATTTACGGCTAGTATCCTCCCGTTTTGAGGCGCTGAGCAGCCTGCAGTCAAAGTTTTCCTCCCAGAACTCAGCGAACCACACGTTCCTTCGATTGTTCTCCAGGGTGAGCCCGGTAAAGTATTCATCAAACCCTGGGAGAAGAGGAAAGAGAAGAATGGTTCAGTTCTGAGCCAATTATCAACCAATTCAAACCTGTAGGAAGTGAAGCGAGACTTGTGCAGTGGTGCAGTGGTGGTGCTGGCACTGGCCGCTAGGTGTTTAAGCACACGAGCAAGCACTACTTCATCAAAATTTGACCGCAGTGGTTCCTCTTCCTCTCAAGGCCCCATGGAGTTTTAATCACTTCTTTCATCTAGGAAATTACATTAATTAAAAAACAGGATGCATAATAAATAACGCAGGACTTGTACAGGGTGCCACAGCCTAGCGCCTCAGGCTCTGAGGTCCTGTAGGTACTGAACAGGTTTTCCTCGCTTCATAAACTCCATTACAATAGCAATGGATTGAAGGCATGATGTATTAGCTTAACACTAATTTCAAAAGGGCTTAGGCGCTTGTGTCGAGCTTTGGCTTGGGGAGTGGAAACTGCAGCAACAAAAGAAAAGAAAGTCTCGGATGCTGGATTGTGGTCTGTCGTTTCTTTTTAAAAAATATTCCTCCAAAAACTTAGTCATGGGTTTAATTTTTGTCTCCAGAATAATGCGAATTTCTCACAGTCTCTGTCTCCTCGCTGTTATCCAGTGAAATCAGCTGAGTCGTGGGTAGAGGTGATAATGGCTAATCAAAGCTGAATGACTCAGCTGATTTTCTTTTCAAAAGACCATCAATGATGCATGCTGGATTAATAATATTCTCACTGCCTCCAGAGTGTACATGTGTCCTGGTTAGACCTCACTAATTAAGGACAGCTCCATAAAACTTCCTCGATTGTGATGATGAGTGAATATTTAGATTGTGACGCAGGCCAAGCTTAAAATAGATCATGCATGCAGAAAAGTAGTCATCTGCGGTGAATTTGTGCGTGGTCCGACACGTGTAGTGGTATATTTTCTTTGTTTTGTACTGGCTGGTCGAACTCAAGCTACACTTTTAAGAGAAATTCACCCCAAGGCTCTTCAAAACAAGTGATAATGGGATACCATTAGGAGTTTAACCACAGGAATATATGAGAGATCACAACACTTCGCTTCTTAAGCGTTAAAAAAATAAATGAAAGCTTTTTGTCTGGCACATCGTTTTGTGTCATCTTTTTTTTTTTTTTTTTTGAAATAAGTGTACAGCTGAGACCGATAAGATCAGAGATCACTTTGTCAAAACTCACTTCACCGCGGTTGTGTTCAACCCACGGCAAAATACAAACAACAAGGTCAGATTGTTTTGAGGTTTGAGGGAGATAATTTCTTCGGCATTTAAAAACCGTAAGCTAAAGGAGAGAAAGATGAGACAGGGGATCGATGTGGAGAAAGTAAAAAAAAAATACTGGTATGTCACTGAACATGATTTTAAATACATCAAATCCCACGGATGTTCTTTTAAGTGTTTTCAAGGGAGCGATTTTCCTTGAGGCTTTAGAGAAAAAAGAACAAGCTATGTGCGTGGAGGCTTGTTTGAGTGTGGTTTTTAAAGCTGCTCCTATCAATGTTTTAACATTAGCGATGGATGAAAAGACTTTTAATGTGGAAGAGGTTGCTTCAGGTAATGAACCCACAGAGAACAACACAGGAGTCTGCAGTTCCTCTCGGCTGTTTGGAGCGTTTTAGCGTCTTTTGGCCATTAATTTTGGTTTTGGTTTTGGTGTGGCCCCTTCTGTGTGCACCACAGTAACAAGAACAACAACATATACAGGCAACAGGTTACTGTGACTTCCTGTTTATTATTTACCGTCCATTTAGATATTTCATGATTTTGGTGCTTCTACTGTGATGTTTTCATTAAAAAGGGTTTCTTTTTTTCTTAAGTTGATAAAAAATACATGCATAATCAATCCTTTTATCTTATCTTTATGATCCGTTACATGGTCCAGAGTCTGTACACAACGTTTTATTTTGAAATTGACCAGATGCTCTATGCCAGAGGTCCCCAAACAGTGGGCCCCGGACCAGTACCAGTCTGTGGATCAATTAGAACCAGGCCGGAAAAAAAAACGGTGATTAAATATATTATTTTCTTTTCTGTCCTCCCAGTATCTTATTTTGAAAGACCACCACTTCCACCATCGCCTCACTTGACTCACAAGTCATCAGCAGCACAAGCTAGCCCTTGCAAAAATGAGCCAGAAACAGAGTTCACTGGAGAGAGAGAGAGGGTTGATTCTGCATTATGGTGAGTTGATGTTAAAGTGTAATGAAAAGTGCCTCATATATTGTATTGTAATGCCCTCCTTTCTGGTCTCCCAAAAAAGAATATTTCACAACTGCAGTTATTACAAAATTCAGCTGCTAACAAGGACCAGAAGGAGAGATCACATTATAACGATTTTAAGGTCTCTGCATTGGCTACCCGTCTCTTTTAGAATAGATTTTAAGTTGCTTTATTAGTTTTTAAAGCTCTTAATGGCTTTGGCCCTTCTTATCTATCTGATTTTCTTTTACCTTATGAGCCAGGTCGAGCCCTCAGATCTTCAGGAAGTTCTCTGTTAACAATACTGCAAGTTAAAACCAAGATACGGTGAGGCAACTTTTTATTACTATGGCCCCCGTCTATGGAACAGCTTACCTGAAGACCTGAGGACTGCACCTAATCATAATGATTTTAAAAGCAAACTGAAAACGTACCTTTTTAGTCCTGCTTTTAACTAAATTTTATATCATTAACTTTAAGTCTTTTAGCATTTATCTCTTTATAGTTTTAATAACAGGATCGTATTTTATTGAGCTATTTTGGTGCTCTTATTTTAGTATCTTTTACTGTTGTTTTCATTTCATTTTATTTATTTTTTCTTGAATTTCATTCTTTGTTTCTTTGTTTTTAGATTTTAACATAAACCTCCAGTGTTTCTTTATCTTGAGTTTTAAAATGACGTTTCCTCAGTGCGCACATTCCTGTTTCCACGAAATCAAACCCTTTTTAAGTTTATGCATTTTAATACTGTTTTTGTTTCAATTAGATCATGGGATGGGAATGAGGGGTTGGGCTGGGGTTGATTTGGGTATTCTTTGTTTCTTTTATTCCTATTTTTGTGTGTCTCAGTTTGTGCTACATGTTATATATGAAAAGTGATATGTATAAATAAAGACTGATTGATTGATTGATTGATATAAAATGTAATTGTTGTATCCAGATTACATACTATGTACTGATTAAGGTTTTTGTTATTGGAACCTCCACGCCCCTACCCGGTCCTTGGAAAAAGTTTCCTGCATGAAATTGGTCCCTGGTACAAAAAAGGTTAGGGATGACTGCTCTATGCCGTTTCAGTGTCTAACTTTCAGTAAAATCTATTCTGCTCAGCTTGCCACGTGCTGAACATGGGCCCTGTTGAAAATAGACTTGGCCGAGCAGAGTGGAAAGACACCTCTGGGACTGACCTATGAAGTGCCGCAGCTCTTTCAGTGGAAACTATAGCATTGACCGGAGTGGGTATGGCATCAGCTGTGGGTGTGAGGTGTGCGCCCAGGATGCCGCGCACATGCTTGCTGTGGACTCAAACACAAGCACCTCCATTTCACAGGAAAAAACCTGTGCATCACGTTTCCGTCGGTGCAGTACACTATAGAGCTTAACTGTGCCCACTCAGGTCTAGCTGACGTTTCCACGGAGAGCATCGTGGCTTGTCTCAGCTCCAGCCAAGAAGCGTCTAACTTCTCCACTAAAGAAACAGGCTATTCAAACAATATCTTAATAAACAGTGGACCAACTTCAGATTTTCATAATGACCTATTATTAGTTTGTTGTTTTATGTATACACCAGAGATCATTTAATCCTCCATGTCTTTCTGCTTTGAACTAAACTTGCTATGCACTTTTTAGTCAGGGCAGGGTGGGTGCTGTCAAATAGAGAGAGACCATGAATACTAAGCTCAGACCAAGACGGTAACAGCTATATCTAATAATTCTTATCAAAAAGAAAGTGTGACTGAAAGGCAAGGTGGTCTGAGCCATGGCTTTGAAATTGATTTAAAATGCTGATGTATTTCTCACAGAGAGATTATAAAGCCGTAAGAAATGACTGCAGTGCCTTCAGCTCTTAGTTTCCATATAGAAGGAGGGAGAAACAAACAAACAAATGCAGGGTGAAAACGCCATTTATCAGTTAATTATTATTATTTATTTATTTACAGTAGATTAAACCACCAAACCATGATGCTGATTGATAAAGAGAGAGAGAGAGTGTATGTCGATTACCAGTGTGTAATGCAGATATTACATATGTATGTATATATATATATCATTTGAAAAACAATATAACATCCATTATTCTATCCACATGATAATCTAATATACATGGCTGTCTTATCTTGTAGCATGTTAAACATGGGTTTCTACATGATTTTATTCATGAAATAGAAAAATAAATTGGATTATGCTAATAGATTTCAGAGTACCACTGATAATTATGTCAGGAACATTATTAAAATACATTATTCCATACATTATTACAAAACCTAATATCAGATATCAGCCAGTAACTGATTCAGATTTAATATATGTGGTCATGCTGGGAATAATGTGTTTTCAGTCAAGGGGGTGTCAATATTGCTCAACAGCAGCCACACTGATGGAATGACTTTACAGTCTGCAGACTTTTTCATTAGCTGATGCAGATTATTAAAAAATGCCATTAATCAGACTGATTAATTATATCTCTAATCATCCATCTCAAGAGAACAGGTTGAAGCACCGTGACTCTAAATCAGAATTTCTTTGTTTTTTCATACTTTTATCTTTTTTTTAGGCTCTTAAATATCATCAAATCTTCTTTTAATCTGCAGGTTATTGTGCATAATTAGGTAAAAATAACTAGTGAGGCAGTTTCTCCCAACAATATCCTGAGGACAATATGATGAAAACAATGCAGCCCTTGGGAAAGTGTGATTGTGTGTGTTTGTGTGTGTGTGTATACCTTCGATAGAGGAGCGTTTGGGCAGTATAGTGACCGCCCCCACTGCTACATCTTCGAGCTGGTGAATCGGGCTGCTCTTGGCCCCCCAGCTGTCAGATCCAATCCACAGGAAATGGCCCACCTGATTGGCCCTCTTGGTGGCATTGAGAACTCCCCTGCAAGGACATCCATGTGTGAATTAGGAGCGAGAACAGGAGATGTGTGCAGTCCAATATCTATTACACAGAGGCACAGCTTGCACAGAGGTGTTGTTTGGATACTACAGTTCGATCCCGTACAGTTCTTAAGTTTATCTTATCAAAGGTGAGAGGAAAAGGAAGGGAAGAGTGTTTATTTTCCTGCTCCAGATGTGTTTGTTTTTTGGCTATCTTTTATTTAAAGATAACAGAGGGAGTGCTGTTCATCGTCTTTTACATTTCACTCTTCATTGCTGGCTTCTTCATTTTGAATTTAGAGGCAATAAATGTTTTATTCTTTCTTTCTGAACACCAATTCCCATGGGCAATTGTAAATGAAACAACATCTCTTGCTTTGTTGTGATCTCTATTCCCACTTCTCCTCAGAGGCACACTTGTGTTTGTGTTGATGGAGGTATGTTTGTGTAGCACGCATGGTAAATCTGTGCCTTTAGCCAGTCTCTGCGAGCTGCTACTCAAAGATTAAAGACCTCAACATGGCAAGTCATCAACGCCCATCAATGTGCTGCACTACTCACCGTATGTCTTCCTCGCTGGCGAAGATGACGACTGCCCGGGAGTGCTGCGTTTCCAGCAGTTGTTGGATGGCTTTGTCGTAATCCTCCAGCTTGGGGTTGGGGGGGATTTTCAAAGACTGGGCAATGCAGATTCCACCTTTTTTAATGGGAAAGGAGTAAGGAATGATAAGGCCTCTGGGACGATCTCATCCATTCACTCACTCTTACACACAAACAAAAGCCTGAGGTCACAAGAGCTGCTTTTTTATCCCCTATAGAAATAAGAATGATCTAAACATAATGGTGAGACTTTGATGGTGCTGTCATGCTTACTGCTGTAGACTCTAAATGATAGAGTAACACTGTATATACATTTACACTTTGGAAATGAGATGAAAACCACAGCGGCATGCAATATAGCTCTAAAACGGCGCCCTCCGACTGCGCACCAAAACCATTAAAAGTAAAACGGAAACAAATCTGCTTTAACAAATTCAATGGTCCACTTCAAGAGGGACATAAAGCCTCAGATTTCATCTTATGGAAACAAGAAAATCCAACAGCTTGCTATTGACTTTTCATTTAAAGCCATTATCTGACATCTCTGGTTGAATCCTGAACCAATCTGATAGCAGAGTGTGCAATAAAAAACAAGGAGGATATTAACACTGACAATAAATCATTCTTAGACAGCCCCCCTGCTAATGAGTTTGTACAGGATGAAGATTACAGATTGCCCCCGTCCATTGCTAAATAGTTGCACCATATTTTGTGGAGTGTACATATTCTTGAAATTGGCTTTTAGCACTTCGTAAGATGCTGTTATCTCCAGGGTTAAGTTGAACAGCTCATTAACAAGTACACAGACAAAATTATCTCTCATAAAAAATAATACAGAAAGAGTTTTGCATCAACACAGCTTCGTAATTATGCTGTGGAGGGCGAGCTAACCTTTGAGGCACTCTGTTAAAACAGATAATGTGATCACCTGCGCGAGAGGACATCATTACTACTGTAGGCCTGGACTGGAGGCAGCAGCCTGCGTCCTGAGTCAACAGCAAAGCTCTACCCAAACCAATTAAAATTTCTCCCACTCAAGCGTTTTAATAGCCTACCCAATAACCTTTCAGTTTGAGTTTCCCTGAGTAGACAGAGAAATGGAAAGAATCTCCTAATTGCCAGTCTCTTCGGGCTCATTACTTTGATATAAACAGCTTTTAGCTGGCAGATCACACATCTTCAGTCACGGTTTACTGTGGCATTTCTAAAGGCGCAGAATCGCAAAATGACAACTGCTGAGCCTCCTCTTAACTATCCATTTCTCAAGTATTAGCAGACTGACTTAAAAATGTTTCTTGATTCCAGACAAAAGACCGCTGGGATGGCCGCTGTTATCCTCCCTAAGTGGGCAAAACATAAAAATGGAGATCCCGCAAATGGTCTAGCTGTTGCTTGAGGGTTTGCGGTATCCTGTTAGAGTGAAACGTGCCTGGTGTTATTTGTGCAGCACAGCCAGCATTGTGGGTCTCCAAGGGACGACACTAAAGCTCTTTTTCTGCACAGAGATTTCAGTTACATTCAGCCAGAAAGCCTTCACTATAACACTGGAAGTCCAGGTTTGGGTTTTAGGAATCCTTTTCACCGGATAACATCTGAATCTGGCGTATTAATGGCACCTTTCAGTACCAGGGGGCAGGTACAGCATGTATCACACACATATTATTTCCAGAGAGGGTAAGGAAGAAAGAAAGTCTCATGAAAATGCATTAACTCCACCGTGAAAAAAACTCCTGTGGGCTTGTGTGAAGAGGCATAATGGTATAACAGACCTGAACAGAGATATATTATAGGTCACAACAGCCAATAATACAGGCAGAGACCACAGGAGCCGCTGATGAAGATAAGAAGCTTTTGGAGCAGATCCCATCTTCACAGAGACAGAGAAAGAGCACCTGAGCTGAACGTGCTGTGGGCTTAAGCCTGCCCTGAAGGATGCGGACCAACAGTGAAGCAGCAGTGGTGGCTAAATTATTGAACGCCCGCAGAATACCTCATCTGTCAGTCAGCCAGACGTTCAGTCAGTCAGAGGAAGGCAGGGATGATGGAAATAAGAGTATTGTATCTGTACTTCCAGAGTACTCTACCGTAGGTTGGACCGCCTTCACCTGTCACCAGAGAGTATCGCCTGGACATGAAAGAGTTCTCCTCTCAAATAGTGGGTTTAAAGAGGAGCCATGTGTCTATCTCCACTGGAGATGGTTTGATGTGAGACATACGAATTTCAGGCTCTGGAGGGAGGGGGTAGTTTTACTCCAACTCATTGAAGTCTTATCCAAGAAAGAGAGTTGTATAGCAATGATGGAGTAGAGCAAGTATTTAAAGCCTCTGGAAATTTGGCTCGATATCCACGAAATGTATTTATGACTATATGATTGAAAAGTTAAGCATGTCTTTAAGCATCCGCAACAAATCAGACTAAAAATAAACACCCATATTTAAAAGAAAAAAGGGAAAAAAACTGCTGTAGACTTTTTAAAAGCCTGTGTAGGTGTGGCAGATTAAATTTGATTGACATCTCCCCTGGCTCAATGCGCAGCATGGGACAATAAGCCTTGTCCAGCACTGTATTTTCAGGACTGCTGATTTGGAATTAGGGGAGGGGAGCAGAACTGTTTAGCATCCAGGTTACTCCTTCACAGAGTATTTAGGTTACTTATGCAAAGTTAGATTAGATGTCCCTGAGTTCTCACACCATGAGTGCAATGCTAAATGATGGTACTGAGGAGTGACTCAGTCTCATTTTCCGGCTGAAATAAACTCCTGCCACAAAACTTGTTTCTCTTATTATCGGTTTGCTCCTGAGGCTTGGCTGTATCTGAATAGGTCGACTGCTACACTGGACTTCTAAGGCTAAAAACAGACCTCTGCTGATGCTAAACACCCCCTTTGCCAGTAACCACCCATGGTCAACACTCAACATGAGTGGAAGACAGTAATCACCCACAGCCAACACTCACACTGGGTGTTAATAGCTGGATTGCTGCCTTGTGATTTTACCCCCCATGAAGCAAGAAGACAATATGATCTTCTTTTAGTGGCTGATAAAAATAAAAATTAGGCAGGACACATGTCAAAGCATAATCAAGACTTCAAGTTTTATTTGGGGGATTTTTTCAGTTTGAATCTAAACAATTAACCAGAACTGCTGAGATGCTTTGTGCCATTAACATGGACCATTAAACGTAGCATGAACTCTATGTTAAAGGTGGGGTAGGCAGGAATCTGTTGAAGAAGAATCTTTTTTTTTTGTGGTGTATATACAAAAAAGCTTTTAATATCAGTCGATAGCTGTTAGTCATTGATGACATTTGGTAATATCACAATATCGCTGTGTTTTGTTACGTCTTTGTAGTTAACATTTGACTGGTTGTGAGGCAGCCGCTGCTCCTTAGTGCTGATTGGTTGTGAGGCAGACGGGTCGTTCAGGAGCCCAAATAAAGGTAGCATGCTACAATATCGGACAGTAGAAACCAACCAGAAAGTACAGAAAATTGTCTGAATCGTCCTTTGGCCACGACTGTCAACACAATAAAGAAAACGAAGTAAATACCAGAGACTCTGGCGGAATAACGGGCGCTTAAAAAGGAGGTAGACCGGATAAGAGCTAAAAAGACGGGTCAACAATGATGGGGGATGCTTTGGGATCTTACGGACCCTGTAACCTTTCTGCTGGACAGGTAAACAGCTTTAATAAAGTAAGCTGAAACAGAAGTGTTTCTTGTCAAATGGGACCTGCTGCATGTTGTAGCGCCGTTGTAAACTGTTGACCTCGGGTCCTGGACTATGTCACTTTATCCTAGTTGTAGAAGTCCTGCAAACATTGTGTTTGCTGGTAGTCTGTCAGCATCTACAGTAGCACCACTGCTATTTACTTTCACATTGACTGGGCCCCATTTGTTATTATCTGAAGTATTTATCTGCATTATATCTGAATTTAATAGAAATGGTACGAGCGAGCAGAAGCGTCTGTTTGTGGGCGGGGCTTGCTGGAGCAGAGACGGAGGGGAGAGGAGGAGCTGCGGGGAAAACTGGTTGGGAGGGGTAGAGTTTACATTCAAGATTTCTCCCCAAAACTGGCACTTCCTCAGATCCTGCCTACCCCACCTTTAAAGGATTGATTCTTGAATCTGAGTGTCCAGTGTAAAACTGACCAACACAGCTGGTCAGGTGGTCTTAGAAGCACCTGAAGACAACCTCATGGATATGGCATAAAGTACATCCATGAGCAGTTATATAACTGTGCAATCTTAACACAGCCCCTCTCTGTATTACTGTGTGTTTGTGAGTGTGAGGCCCTCAGGATGTGGCAGGCAGAAACACACTGCGCTTGTAAAGGAGCTGTTGGTCCTTCACCCAGACGAACTCTTTGTATGTCTCTCTTATGTATCTCTACCTCTGTATCTATCTATCTGTCTTTTGAGAATTACATATACAGCCTATACTAACTATTCAGTATATATACAGTGTTTACAGTAGAGTTGCGGTAATTGTATGACTCAGCTTTTAATTGAGAATCAGCACTAATGCTAGACTATCAGCTGCTGCTGCGGACAGGGTCGATTAAACCGTGTAATTTAGCTAATTTTAAGATAGTCCAATCCCATTATTACTGTCACTGTAAGTATGTGCTGCTGCATCCCTAAACAGTAGGAAAAGTAAACAGCTTTTCTGACCACAAAGTAATGCTCAGAAAAATGTCCACGTATAAGTTACACTTGCACTGACATGAACGTGTTTGCGTTGACTTACCTAAACATCTATACAGTGATACAGAAAACTGAAATTAGCCGGTGGTTGAAAACCTCGTTTTAATACCAATTCCCTGTCTGGTTTCTCAAAGGGGCCGAGCAGACCAGGATCCCCTGCAGGTAAATGAATTACCATTTACAAGTACCTCATATAACCGCTCTCATAAAAAGAAGAAAGAATGAATTATCCTTTCAGTAAATGCTTTCAAGCCACTCACAATAACAAAAGCTGTTTTATTTTTTTGGTCTTATAAATTGTACATAAAAAGTTTATTCTATTATTTTGGAATGGTTTGCATTGAATGTAAAAAACGTGGCTTGTATTGGAAGAGAGATGCTCGCTTGTGAAATTAAAAAGTTTGAACCGCGCATAATTCATCTATCCGTGATGGCACCAAATAATATAAAAACTATATACGGCGTGAACTTCTCCCCTCTGCTCCATGTTCGAGTAATATATCAGAGACAGCGTAATGATCATGATAGCTAAATTCATCAGGCTCTTGGAAGTTCTCTGCTTATCTGTCTGAGTGCCATAGGTCATGCACTGCATTAACTGCTTCAATTATTCATCCTCACTGCCCTTAGTTCTGAAAATGCACTCTGGGGCGAGGAATCCTGCTTCGCCATTTTGCTTTAGTGAAATACAAATCCCTTTAAATTAGAGGCTCTTGATGGATTCGACCCCCCACTCGTCTACTCAACACCCTCCAAACCCGAGCCTCCAGGGGATCCATAATGCTGCAATTATATTTATCACCTCCACAGTCACAAGGCAGACCTGCTCCCTCTAGCCTCCCAGCATGAATACGTGGGAGCACATCAAAACAGGCTGACAGGCGGCTGACATTCATATTCCACATCGGTGCAACCTTCCATATCCTGTGCTCCCTTTTCACTGCCGGTGAGGGGCTTGTCAATGTCATAGGGTCATGCACATGTATCATGGTCTATTTTTACGCTGTTTGCAGATGCACAAGGTTCCTCTCCCACTGCTAAATATGAGTGCTGTTCTTTACTGGCAGTTTGTGTTTCCCTCACAGCTTAGATCTAACAAAATGCATCATGTTGGCAACTCGCTGCAATCAATTCCACAGTGATACTTTGTGGGTGGTTTTCCTCAAATGCGAGGCTTTTCATGAAATGAGAGAGAAAAAAAAAAAAAAAAAAACTGAACTCCATCACTCTGGCCCAAGTCCAGACAGACACAGAAAAATACAAACAAGATTAATCTCTGCCAGCTTCAACCTGGAGCCAGGATGAAGGTGCAAAATGGAGCAGCGCCGAAAAAGGGGGAGGGGGGTGGAGCAAAAGCAAAAGCAAAAAAAAAAGGAAAAAAAAAAAAAAACACAAACAAAATAGATCAATAGGAGCTGACCATCACTCCAGTCTCAGCTGGAGGTAATGGGCAGCCATATTGCATTAGACCGTTAGATGGTTTCTTCTTGAAGTGGTGAAGCGAGAATCCTACTAATGCATCTGACATTTTACTGCAACAGAACAGGGATGCCACAATACAAAAAAATAACCAAGGCCCCGTGTATCAACTTTGCAGGGTGCTGCAGAAATACTCAGCTGACACTATTGTTTTTTCTCCAGTTGAGAAATGTCTGGAAAGTGCCAGAAAGTGTTATGATTTGAATATATCTCCTTAAAACCCACTTATAGTTTCTCGCCAGATTCTCTATCTCTTTCAATTTTTCCATGTAGTCTTTTTTTAAATCAATTCAACAGATTCCAGTCAGTGCTGCAGAACGGACGCTTTTGGATGATTCCTGTGAATGCACAGTTATGCTATTACATAATTAATGTGTTTATTAAAGATAAAACGCCTCGGGCACTTGGAGCTTCTCTTTACAGGGAGTAATTCCCATTTGTATATGAATGCAAAATATTGGGAAGTGACTGCAGCTCAGCAGCAACAGGATGAGTCAACAACAACAATGGCTTATAATTTCATTCTCCTTGTGTTGCTGTTCAAGAGTCGTAATAATATCAGCGGGCTTACAGCTCTTTGCATAAGAAAAAAAAAAAAGGAACATCAGTAGGAAATGCATCTGAGGAAACCAGTTTGAAGAAAATGTGTTTATCACAGGATATGAGAGGAGCAGAAACTTCTAAAATAAGCCTTAAATCAGGGCTTTTCCTTCTCCATCTTAGACTTTCCCTCTCACTCTGCCGATGCAAATTACACAGCCACAAACAGCTTCTTAAAGTTTTAATGAGTGATCACACTGGACACGAATGCACATGGATAAAATATTCATGGACGCTGGACTTCTTATGGGTGCCTGTGGGATATCATTAGCCTCCTTCATTTTAGAGGTTTCCGCACATTAGTCTGTAAGAAGAGGCAGCGATCACTCCTACAGATGTACGAGAAATAGTTTGGGAGTCATGAGGTTGAAGTGAGGAGGAGCTAAATAGCTTTAAGAGCTCACCTGTTGTGGTGAGTGTAAGGGGCATTAATGCGGTAGTGATGAGGTGAGTGATTCTAACTCAGCGTGTCCTTTGTTAAAGTCAGTTAACATCTCTCGAGGGTCTGATAGCTGTCTGTTTAGAGTGCAGGAAAATATTTTAAGGTAGAAAAATAAATGACAAGCGATCAAAACAGCTCGGTGTTACAGCCACACAACTCTAGCAGATACCAACAACAAGCACTCTGCCCAGTTTACTTCAAAACTGCCTCTTCATGACAGCCTCATGGTAGGGCGTACAAGCTGGGTGGAGAGTGAGGGAAAAAGACTGACGAATTTGGCAGTTTCTTTGTTCCCCTATCATGCAGCTCAGTGTCTGCTGCTTCCTGTTAACTAACAGCCTCATCTATAACTGGATTAAAATACTACCTTCAGTTTAATCAGGTTTTACTTACTAAACACTGATCATAACAACAGCCTGCTCATATTATAAAGAATAGAAGTTGTGTTGCAATGACAGTCCCCCCAAAAATCCTACAGGTCATGTCTGGATAACAGTCAACAACAATCCAGTGCTGGTAGAGAGTGTAACAAGTCAAAGCTAGGTCTGAGCGATAAACCAAAAGTTTACTGATACCAAAATTTACATCAATAACCGACTTCATTTTGCACATCAATATATTCAGTGTCAAATAAATAAATAAAAGTTGGTTTGGATGTGTGTAGATAGGCTATGGTCTCATGTCCCTTTAAGACGCTGTCCTACGTCAGAGACGTGACTCCACCCCATTCAGTCCATAACAAAGAGGAAAAGACAGGTAAGGAGATAGAGGACGGTTCACAAGTTGTTGCGGTTGTAGCAGCGGCTGCAGTAGACGAAGTTAATGTGGGAGGGGGTGAGCAGCTTGTGGAGTAGTTATCGTCCATTTATCGTTATCAAGGTGAACTGCTTAATATATCGTGATATTGATTTGAGGCCATATTGCCCAGCCCTAGTCAAAGCTGACAAAATGTTAGCAGTTAGTATGATCAGAGGGGCACTCACTGTTGAGAAAAATCAAGTTTTGCATCTGGATTAATGTTGGAGAAGAAAATGATTTTGGAACAGTCACATGGACATTACATAGGTGCAGAAAATAGTATTTTCACTGGTTGCATTTCTTTATTATTTACTATATTTGTTTGTTGTATTCGTATTGTTGTGGAATGTCCATTTTAGGGCGTACCATAATCTCCCAGTTTGGGATCAATAAAGTAATTCTAATTCTGATTCTAATTCTGTACTGCGTGTTAGACCACACCTGCCTTCATGGTGCTTATCAGCCTATTGGTATGCAGAAGCTTTATAGGCATCCTAACATATGACCAGATAATTCTTTGAGGCATTTATTGAGTATGCGGGCTTCGCATCTCTTGTGCAAATGCTGTGGACTTGTTTAATTTATCCAGCAGATTTGGTCAGGGCCATGGCAAGCCATGCAATTTGTTTAACTCATTATGCCGAACATGAAATGTGATTCCTCATTTAGTCAGTCCTTTTCATGTCCAAGATGAGTCCTGTTTGCAAGAGGCGAAGATAAAAAAAAAAATTGGATAGACAGCTATAACTGGGAGTATTGAGGTTTGTCTTTACCTTTGTCCTACATACGCTAACATCAAGCTCTGTGATTGTGCTATTGTTGTTCACGTATGGGATTTTTTTTTTCTTTTTACACTCATCTCGAAGTGATTCTTCCTCAAAGATGAAAAACAAGGCTCTGGAGCTCTGATTATGGTAATTGCCACCTCTCTGGCTTCAAAAACCGTCCCGCAATCACTGTCCCTCGGTAAACTGCAAACTAACTGCATGTTTTGTGGAACTGTATCCTTGCCATGATCTTGCAGAAATCCTGCAGCAGCGACTTTGGAAAGTCCCCGCAGACCTTCAGAAGCACAGCACACGATTTGACAAAGATAGCCTGCTCAGTGAACTGTAAGGACTCTGAGTGTTTCCTGGCGACAGCAATGACTGCTGATTCACATGTACCACCAACACATGACGGCAACAGCACAACTGTGGAGAGCGGGTGATTCATGCACAGCATTCAACCCAGTTATGGGTGAAAATACAACACCTTGTCTGAATGTGAAATTCAGCGGTAAGCACTCTTCTAGAGGCTCGATCTAGTCTCTCAAACCCAAATTCAAACTCACAGTTTAAGTGTTAATCCTGAGAAAGGTTCACTGCCACTTAAAACAATCATTAGCAATGTCAAACTAACAGGCAAGACAAACAAGACTGATTCTCGCCGCTTACTTCTCTGAGAATTCAAAGGTTCAGCGTTTTCTTTCTGGTCCTGCAGTTTGTGAGAAATGTCAAGAGAAATACACCAAAGAAAACATCTTTTTAACAAACACTATCGGAAATCTCGCTGCTTTGTACATAGCAACTAGAGCAGAGTTGGTTTGAACTGACTGACCGCAAATCTCACTGACCATCATTACTGTCCTCGGAGCTCTGCGCGCTCACCAGCGAGGATAAAAAAAAATGAGGTTGAGTGAGAAAGAAAAGCCAGAGTGTAAAGCGAAATTCAAGTCTCCCCAATGAACACTCTGCTGGAACATTCTCCATCCCCTCTGTTAGCCACAGAGAAACACATCAGACAATTTCACACGATTTTTCTTCTGAGTGCAAAACACTGAAAATGGTTGCATTTAAAAAAACTGTGGCATTGGAAGAGGCTCATTATCGTGACGTGGCAAGCTGTTTCTGTCTACATTTCCACTAACACTCCTAAACCCACTGGGGAACTAAAGGAAAAGTTGCCAAACTGATCAATAATTCATTCTCCAAAAACAGATTTAAGGATGAGCTGGGATGCATAACACTAATCTTTTTCTGAAATAAATGTGAGTTTAAAGACTGTACACCGCCACTTAAGAGATGGTTTAATTCCTCGTTCTTGATCACTTGTTCTCACCTGCAACTTTGGAGAGCTGTGTGAAGGCCTCCACCCCTTTCTCTCCATAGCTGCCTTCTGAAGCAATGGTGGAGACGTAGGTCCAGCCAAGAGCTCGGATAATGTCCACCATGGCCTGAGCCTGGAACGAGTCCGGGGGAACCACACGTGAGAAGAAGTCATAGCGTCTGTCGTCACTCAACTCCGGGGCTGTTGACGCATAGCTGATCTGCGGGATCTGGAAGAGAAAAAGGGAGGAGGAGGAGGGGAACGTTTACTCATGGGCTGGTACTAGAGTGACTGCCTTGGAAAAAGAAAATCAACGTCAAAATGGTCAAGAAACATTTCCAAATGAAGGTCAAAACCAAAACCGTTTGCAACAAAAAACACAGAAATGTTGTCGTATCATGTCATAATTTACTTTTGAGAATTTGAATTCCTTTATTTTGATGACATGACAGACGCTTGAGTTGGAAATTGAGAAAAGAGATAGGTAAATGCCCCACAGCAAAGGGCGGAGGGTCTGACTTCAGCCTGAGCCGCCCACTACAAGGACACATCCTCTGTAATTTGGCGCATTGCATAACTGCTCCAGCCCAAACTAGCTTCCTGTGTTTATTAATTAATTTATTCATATTTATTTTAGCATACCCTAATGAAAATTTATCATGCAGCTTGAAAATAGTCCTTCAGCTTTGACAGCCAGTAAAGCTTCAATGTCAACTCTGTATTTATTTGCCTGCTTTGAAGTTGAATTAACATTTGACATTTTCATTCAGAGTAAAATCTAAACATTAGCTGCCTTACGGCTATATACCAAATTAAATTCACTATTGTCATTTTGACCTATCAGGATGTAACACAGAATGAAATAGTGTTACACTTGATATTAGCAAAGTTTGTCATAACAATTTAAGATAATCATTGTACATCATTGTCTGACAATTAAGCCAGGTTAAGGTCCTTAGACACCGGGAGCGTTTTTTTCGTGCACTTATTTTGGACGTCAATATTTTTTTCGAATCCGTATCCTGTCAATACAAGCATTCACATCAGCGACGTTTTCCCAGCCTGTGATATTGCGGCATTTATTTTTTCGTATCACAGTCGAATTTTCTAAAGTTTTGCATACTGTGTGTCCACTTCTGACCAATCAGATTTCGTGTTGTTGTGACGTCAGATTCACCAGAATATCCAACATGGCCGACCGACAGATCGTTTAGGTCTCGGAGAATAGAGCGCTTTTTGATAAAAACACAAATATTAGAAAGAAAACGACCTGAAGGACAACTTGTGAAGAGTCATAGCGTCGGATTTCTCATATGATGATGGTTTGTGTGCTTTAACAGTTTGCTAAAGGTCTCTGTTTTAACTTTTATCTGTGCTAAGTAACTTTAGCTCGTAAGCTAACCAGTTCAGATACAACACACCATATGTATTTTCACTGTCTAAAACTCAATCGCGTTGCTGTCACAGCACCATTAGGTCTAGGTTGTTACCTTATGTTTATGGATTATAGTTTAATGTGCTTATCTGGTACTGGCCCCGACTCAGTACATGCTGTCATGACAGACAGACATCTCAACACTAGTGTCTAATCAGAACTGAAAAACAGTCAGTCGACTGTTGTGTCAGTCTTCTCGCTTCCACCCAGGATGTGTCTTTTTCCTCCTGGAAAGTCGCAAAATCGCATCGCGCTTGATGCGTATAGTCAGGCGCGTCAAAATTAGCCCCCAAACATTTTGTAATTTTGCGTCGTATATTTGCGTCCTTCCGGGTGTGTAAGAACCTTAAGCCTTAAATAACTTCAAGCTAAAACTTTCCCTTCACATCTGAAACTAAAACAGGTCTCAAATTATTCAAAATGACATTTTATAACATAGTATTATCAACTCTCCACTATTAGAGAGTGCCAGGATGTTAGTACAGAGGACACCATTCTGCCTGCTTTTGCTCTCCATACAGACGGTCTTCTCTACACACACCAAAGCCTGCTAAGACATGGTTAATTAATACGACTTCAAACATACTATACTATAAACGAACATCTGAACACTTGGTGCTGTTGATTCTTGCTATTATAGAGAATCTATTTATCATGATCACTGTATATATATGTATATATATGAGTATATTCGAGCAAATAATTGTCTTGGTGCAAGCTTGTTAAATCAAGAACTGTCTTCCACATCTAGAATTAGTACTGAAAAAAAAATCACATAATCAGTTCCAACTTTGAAAGTTTGTTGATGCCCTTATTATGAGTAAATGTGATTATTCATAACTCTGTTAAATAGGAGTGCTGTTTGGATGAATAAGTAAACTTCACTGCATCGTGAATTATCAGATTTTGCGTGCGAGTCCTCTTGAGTGGAATTTGACATACATTCAAAAAGTACAACACAGTAGTGTTTCTGTGGGTGGGAACAGGTGGTACTTAGCCCACCCACTTGGCTTTCATGCCAACCCCATCAGAGGCTCCTTGATGGACCATATTTATGCACTTGATACTGATGCTGTTGTGTCAGCTGCGTGTGTTTATGAACAAGAGGCCATGTGATGTTGTTAATGCGCACATTGATGCCTGTAATGTCACCTGTGATGTAGCTTATATAACTGAATTACTTTTCATCCAGGCAAGTACTGTTAATGTAAAGTAAGAGTATAATGGCCTGTTTTCCAATAATAATGTTAATATGTATATCTCAGCGATGGTGCCTCTTAATTTTCAGTGGCTGCTTTTACATTTTTGCTTGTCCTGACTTTTTGGAGTTTGGAGCAGCAGTGCTCCAAGTAAAAATATTAATTTTGAGCCCTTCCCCCTGAGTAAAGCCTTTGTTATTATATACATGACATACTTTTTTTATGCTTAGGTTATCTTTGTAGACTGCCTCCAAGTTCTTTCCTGCCTACTCAGTGGCCTTAATGAGGCTACTTTGTGAATGAAGATTGCTTCCTAACTCTTCCTCAAAGCTGTATAATTACAGTTAATCACCACCCTTTAACTAATGACTGACATGTAGTATAAACAGGAGAGTGAACACATGAATAAGTAGGGATTTCTTGTAGGAGTGTACACCATCAATCAAGCTGTTTGGGAAAATGCAAGATAGCTACTCCATCTAATGTTGTGTTAATAGTCTGCAGGTGTTGATCTCCTCTACAAAGCTCTGTTTTTTAGCCCAGCTCGCGTCATCATTAACAGCAGGGAAATGTCATTCTGTGAGTCAACCTGTCTGTTTTTTTCCTTCCTTAAACTGCGCCAACATGAGCCTGCCATTTCAGCGGTGAATCGTCCAAAAACCGAGAAGATAAAATGCTCAACATATTTCCCTCATGCGAACAATCAAACTGTCAAATAATGCAAGGCCTCTCATTTTCTGAAACACACCTCTTGGTCCCGCTGGCTTTTTTATCTCTTCTCTATCTGTAAAAGATTGATGAAGAAAAGCTCCATGACTCACGCTTTAGTAAATCATCAAGAGCCTGTGATAAAGTTAAGTGGATACAGGGATCTAGTGTTACATGGTTCACATTTCTGCCTGATAAAATCCTAAACATCTCATCAGCGGCTCCGTTTGACATTTTAAAACTACAATCACACCTGGTGGCTCACCCAAGATCAATATGGCCTCCCATTAAAGAGTTGGACACACAACCAGAGAGGAACATCATTTTCTCTTGAACTCTGGCTCAGTACCTCATCACACAGTCTAATCTGAGAGCTGTATGAATGCCATCCATTTCCGTTAGAGTGATCAAATGCAGCCGGACGCTGGGGGAAACACTGGAATGAGGACACAGCGGCTGGCTGATGGGATTGCTCCAACTCTCCGAGTGTGAGTTATAGCTTTGACCCACAACTCAAAGCGAGTCAAGCGCACAAAGCTGACAAATTGAGGAGCAGAGGAGGAGGTCAAGCTCAAGATGCCTCAATATGTTTTAAATCAGCCTCAAAATAATACACAGCTACACAATCAGCCAGCACAACATCTGCTGCGCAATTAAACCAATTCACAGGTGGAGATGCTGCCGTGGTGTCACAGGTTAAATCCCCTCAGGGCTGCTTGGATTGAGAGTGTTTGGTGAAAAGAGAGAGTAATAAAAAAGCAACAGCTACTGTGATTTGCATTTAAAAGACTCTTCTTTCTAAAAAAAAAAGAGAAAAACATCAATTTGGAATATTTGATAGAGGGGGATGAATCTTTACAGACATGCGTTGGAGTCAAAAGGTGTTATAGGTTTGTTGAATCTCATCCTATCACTACCCCAGTTGGGACAGAAAGCCGCTTCAGCGTTTGTCTCTCTGGAGCTTTTCGCCGCAGGGAGCCGTTGAAGATGGCAGAGCCTTATTTTACTTTGTGCCAGCCTCGTACTCTCTCTTTATATAATTCCTACAGATCGTATTCCCCTGGAATCTGCTTCAGCTTTCAGCGCAAACATTGAAATCTTCTGCCTGTGCTTTTTTTTAATTAGCACTCTGACCTCCAGGTAACCAGGGTGCTAAACCTTGACTGGAAAAACGCTGAGGTGCAAGGATTTAAACTTGCTGGAATACAAGAGGATGCTGACTAACTATTCCCGATAAGCATCTGACACCTTTATATTCCTCTGTTGGAGGCTTCAAATGAAGGGGAATGCAAGTTAATGATTTCACCTTTATGAAATAAGTGAATTAAAATCTCCTCATCTCTCTCTGTAGATTATAAAGTTGAGCTTTTTCACTTTATGTGCATGATTGATTCCGAGAATAACTCCAACTAAATAAGTTCTTGTTGTAACAAATTGCAGCTGATGTGAATTTATTGGGTAAAGTTGATAATGTAGAGATAATAGGGCGGGGAGAATGGATATTTTATTGATGTTTTTCAATCAATTTCTTTTAATAATTAGCTTGAAATGAGAACAGGATTGTTTCTGCTAATCCTTCATCTATATTTAGAACTGAACTATCTCCTATTTGTACGAGACGTGCTTTTCTCATTTCATCACAGGAGCGCTTGAAATGTATCCTCGCTAAGATGGATTGTTCACTTTCAACGAGGTAAAAAGGTGATGGCGATGCCTGCACAAAGTTCAGGATACTTCAGCATGGAAGATGAGCACATGAACTCAGGCGAATAATGATTAAAGACACCTCCATTCAGTATCACAATTACCCAAAGCTGATGTCTGGCACCTGTCATTTGCAGTATAGATCACCGCTCAGATTGCTGAGGGTAATCGCCTGGCTTGCTCTTGAATGTATCTGGGCTGACAGGATCGATGGAAGGAAAACACAGAGGTCTGTTATAGGGGACACTGTTTTATTGATCTACCGCCGCAAAGTGCTGCGGCCGCCCTGAATAAAAATCTGTTGCTGAAGTCTAAAGAAGATTCAGAAAAAAAAACAGAAGAAGAAGGGAGGCGTCTAGTTGGTCAGGAGCGGGGGGCTAATCTTCTTATTGACATTAAATGAGAATTTCAACCCGGGTGTTTAAGAGGAGAGGTGACGAAGTGAGGTTGTGGAAAGGTTAGACACGTTCACAGTAAGAGGGAACGCCAGGCGAAGTTAATTAGAGCACCTTGGCCTTTCCGTTGCATTTTCACATGCAGCACCCCACCACCACCAAGGGCAGCTCTGACGAGAGGTGAGAGACTGTAGTGTTTGTGCTTTACCTGTCCGACTCTACAAATGCAAAGGTGATGATTCCTAAAAGCTGAGAACTAATCTTGCTGTGATGCTCTCCTTTGTTTTCTTTTCCTTTCAAGCGCAGGAAGAAAAAAGACATTTTATTTGAAGGGAAATAGGCGGCATATGGCACAACATGACTCTCAGTTGGGGTGGTAGCAGTGATCTATCCTCGCCATCTGAGGAGAGGGAAAATCTACGGATATGAGGAGATGGGACACAGAAAACAGAGAGATATGACAGTGTATGGGCTCTTAAACAAAAATCAAAAGTGGCCATCTTTCAAACACTGCACATTCGCCTACAAAAGGCAACAGCGAGAGGACACAGTCAGTGTCAAAAATTAGGCACAGGAAACTCGAGCGTTGCCCAGGCTGGGTTTGGTTTTCCATTTATCCGATAGCAACGCTCAAAAGGCATCGCTGCAAATGAAGCATGAGTGGCAGAGCCGAGAAGTTTCCCATGAATGGCTCTAACTGGGGCGGGGAGTGCGGCCAGGCAGTTTGTGTTGCAGGAATCCCTGCGCCTCTATTTGCTGCATGATTAGCCTCTAAGTATATCTTGACATCAGTCAGCTCCAGTCGGCTGTTTGTGACCATCTCCACGGTGACGGCGGAAATGACAGCGGGTTCTGACAGACCCGGCTCCATAACCTCCCATGCTGTCTGTGGCCGAACGCCAATGCACAGATTGTCCTCGTGACACCAGCACAATGACGCGCACACACAAACTGTAAGTATGATCCACTAAACTGGCCAAGGAGCCATTTTGAAAGCCATTCAAAAACTGCACAGCCTATTCCTAATGGAATAAATATTTGCTCACAGAAAACATCCCCAGTCAGAGGATTTATTTGTAGCTGCAAATCCTGGCGTTGTAAACCAGCAACGGTCGATATCCTATAAACAAAATGATATAATGCAATAAACAGGCCTGTAAAGACATGGAGCTGTTATCAAGTTTTACATCTTTCCTGCTAAATCAAAGCTCAGCAAGCATGCGACAAGGAGGGGATCAGACAGCCATCGCTTTGTGTTTAGAGAGCAGGGCAGAGGTAATGACTGTGTCCGTACATGCAACCTCAGGCTGGGCTTTGGTAATCTCTCCTCACCAGAGACGTTGTTGCCAACACAGCCAAAGAGGGCGGGGGGGGAAACAGACAGCTTTCCTTCCTTTTCTCTGTCACTCTTTCCCCTTCTCTTCCTGCCCATCTGTGTCTCTCACACTCACTCAATCTCTCCTCTTCCTGAAGGTTGGATTCTTCATTGTTCCCTCCTCTGAAAACCTGTGACTTTCAGTCCCCGCTCGACTCTCCTCTCCGCCCCTCGGTGTGTTTCAGCCCCTTCAGGAAGGGGAGAGAAGTGAGTCTTATCTCCCTGCGTGTCTCCCCCTCCCTCCCTGTCATCTATCTACATGCAGACACGCCCACGCAGATGATCAGCAGACACTTCCTGCCCACAGAGGTCTTCAGGCTGCCAGTTCTCTCCCAAGCCAAGACAGTCTGCCCTCAGTCATTAACTTGCATGCTACCCAACTTCCTCTCTCGGTCTTTCTTTCCTCCACAATTTCCTCTGTATTCCTAACCATAACCCTCACTTCCAAAACTTCCAGTCAGGAACAAAATAATACTTCTGTCATTTGCCAACTATTCAGTGAAAATGCAACATCATATCCATAAAGGGGAGCATATTTTTTTCTGGGCATTGACTTCCTTTTGGGGGCAAACAGTAATAGCTGGAGTATCATCTTCTTAAAGTTAAAATAACAAACTTTTTAGCAATTTATCCAGCTGGCACAGAGCAACATTTTTGCACACTTGTGATTGCAACTGCAAATAATGGAGACAAAAAAAGACAGACTGAGATTAAAGCCTCGAGACAGAGGGAACTTCACTCAGTCTGTACTCCATCCAGACAATACTGTTCTGAAAAGTATGTTGCAAAGAATCTCAGACAGATCCTGCATGTGCAGCTTCTGAAATCCTGAAAATAAACCCAGAACTTCATATGCATCCACACGGATCCAGGTAAATATCTTCTCTCTGAACTATTCAGAGACCTGGTTTGAAAAACCTCACTCTGCTGTGAAAACCCTGTTTGAGAGCACATGATCACATCCAGTCAGAGATGATGCAGATTACAATCCAGTGAACATTAACTTCATTATGATGACTAAGACTCGAGTATGGCTCAAGTCCTCAGTTTCAGGACTTATGACTCAACTTGGACTTGTGTGCCGATGATGCAGACGTGGACTCAGACACAAGCGTAACGCACATAAACATGAGACGCAGTGTTGAGGCAGAGGGGACGCAACCATAAACGCGGCAGCAGGGACAAGACTGGTGTAAAGTTTTAAAGACAGGTCAACGAACAAAGTCGGCAGTTATCCACATCTGTCTGATGTTTCTCTGGCATCAAACGGCAACAAACCAGCTGGTCAAAATAACTGTCCAGACATGAGTTCAGTTTTATTATTTGATGTTAATTCTACAAAACTAAATGAAAGTAAGTTTGGGACTGTAACTCTTGTGCACGGAGGGAAATGCGTTACCACCTGTTAATAGTCAGCTCAGTCTTGATAAGTATTTGTCACTCGCAAGGCCACTGAGACCCTTATGTTAAGTTTCTTTCAAACACAAGGTAAGAGACATCTGTCCAGGATTATCAGAGATGCTAACACACCTTAAACAGTTGTTAATGTCACTGTAAACAAGCTGCTAGCTAATGTTTGCCTCTAAAGTGGCTCAATCACTGAATCCAAGGTGATTGGTTATTTAAAATTCTGAATGAGCAGCATGTAGGATGTAGGTATCCTTGTGTGTGTTAGAAACCTGTAGTGATCCCACCATAAGGATGACAATGAGTACAACATCTCCCCATTAAGTAAGGTGCAGAGCCTATATAAACACACTGATTGCTTTAATACTGTACTCTTCAAGTATAAACGAGGACTTGAATTGCTCTTACTGCGGATAGTTTCAGACAGACTTGTAGGGCTGTAATCAAAGTCATTCTTGGTCGACTAAAACCTTGCAGCTTGGCGAGATGAAAATACACTGATATCAGCACAAGAAGGCAATTGAACACGATGAAAGTTGAAACGCTCAAAATAGAAATAAATATACGGCAAACTACCAGACGTTGATTAACGTTCTTCAATCTTCCTGTCTCTAGTTGGTCTCCAGTGGGCTGGATGAATCAAGAGGAGTGTTCTGAGACAGGCTGTTACCTGTGAAAGGGGGTGCTCTGAAAACACCTCCATTAGCACTTGGTACGTTTCTCCTAATGAAATTAATCATAGACTGTAAATTGACATGGAAAAAAACGAGTCAACCAACCAGAATTTTGGTTGCCTCAGCACGTATCGACCATAGACTGTATAAACTATGGACAACCTGGTTCCGCCTACCGCCTGTGTACGGATTTGAAGCCAAAAAGCTTTCGGTATTTCTGGGATTTTTCTTCATTTCCTGAAACCAGCGCTGTGCAGTAGCGTTGTGCGCATTCGGCCGCGCAGTTGCAGAGAGTCCCTGTGATGACGCTCGGCTCAAACAGCGTATCCCCCGGGAGAGCTCCTCAATCCCTGAACGCCCATAGGCTGTATCAAGTGTCAATCATAGAAAACATGAACCCCCTAATAACTTTTAAAAATGGAGCTGCACAGAAAAAAGAGGACTTGAGCACAAACCAGTCTTACAATAACTACATGTCAACATCACAAGCAGGGGGGAGAAAAATGTATGTTCTGTGTAATACATTTCTAAAGTTTGTCCACAGCCCCTTAAACTTTGCTGGCGGAGGCGGGATTTATGACCTATACTGCAGCCCATCAACAGAGGGTGCTGTTCTCGGAGTGGCTTCACCCCACGAAGAGGCAGACGGCGTCCATCTATATACAGTCTATGGTATCGACCTATAAGTCAAAGTCGACTAGGACTTTACAGTGTGTTGTATCAGTGCTTGTATCAGAAGTACGACTTTATACTCTTACACTCTCACTCTGTTAAACCAAATAATGCTAACTGACTAACTTGTTCATCATTTGAAATTAAATTGAGTATAAATAACTTTAAGGTTGTAGGTTTCAAAATGCCGCCTCCATCAGACACTTCACCAAACTGTCTGCATGGGTACGTAACTGTGTAGTTATGTAAAAGTGGATGATTTCTTTGTCTCTTTTAATTAGAGCTAGACTACCTTTCACTTTTTTAAGGTCTCACTGGATTTGATTTGAATTTATTTGAATACTCATCCAATAAAAGACAGAGAAATGGTTCACCGCATCAGGTCTTCTTTTATCTGAGGGTGAATTAGTGCAACCTAGAAAATGCTGCTTCCCTTTCAAAATGTTCGATATAAATTGCAATGAATTAAAGAAAATGCATGACACACTACTGCTTGAAAACACACTAAAATACAGAAAATGAAGCTCCTCATCATCAAAGTCTCACTCACATGCATCCCGGCCAGCCATGAGGGAAATCTGCACACTTATTAAGTACATGCTACTCTTCCTGATTTATTCTCAGAGAGTTATCTACATGAAAAATCAAATCTCTTGGTTTAAGACCCTTAACTCATACTGTACGTGCACAGACAGTATTTCTACATGTCAGCGCTAATTGGTTGGACGAGATCCAGCTCTGCGTTCTACTAAACTTAAATCAGACTGCGCAATGATGATGTTGAATAATGTTGTCAGTTTATCAGCACCGCTCTAGACAACACTCCTCACCTCTCCCCAGCATATGTTTTTCAAATAACCCCGTTCACCCAGACCAAACTAAATATTTCCAGTCGTGAGAAGAAGCCAGACGAGCTGTAAACTGTAACAGTGTGGAACGAGTGTAAAAAAGGGCGAGTCTAGAAATGTCAGGACTTAAATGTTTGGAAATTGTCTGGAAACTGTCCAGCAGTCATGTGTAAAAGTGCGACAGCAAGATTTTGGTTTCCGAAAGTAATCAAAGTCTGTGTTAAATTTGAAGAAAAGGCATTGTTGACTTGTCGTGTTATACAAGAAAAGACTTTTTCATCAACAAAACAAAATCAATCCATCACTGGCCGGGAGTTTTACCTGCCTGAACTTAGCAGCATAGAGGATGTAGGATGTGAACTGCAGCCTTCAGTGTTAAAGATCTGTACTTTGTACGCCCACCATCCACTCCAGCTCGTCTGCTGTAAAGAAATTTCACACTTCATGGATCGGAAAAAGGATTTCTGGTGAATAAAACACAGACAGAAATTTGACTTTGTCCACATCAAGTTCAAAAAAATAAGTTAATAGATGTGCTTTTAAGCAGATAGGAGACTTCTTTTTAATTCCCATTCCTTCTCCTCCTCCTCCTCCTCCTCCTCTTCACATCACACTCCTACAGCATCTCTCTACCACTTCCCAGCCAGTTATTCTTCAAGGACCTCACCTGAATCGTGTTAAACCAGTCTGGATGTTTACTGTGTTTTGCTGAAGCCCAAACACCTCCCTTTCAGAGTTGCCCACACTGCCGATCTAGCCTCAGTGTTACATGACAGATAGTTAGGCTTTCATAATCCTTTATCTAACACGACCTTCCACCGTCTCCTTCTTTCCGCCCACTTCCCCTTTTCCCTGTCGATTCCCTCACCCTCTGTCTCTCCTGCTCGCTCCACGCCTGTCCCCTGAGCAGCGCTGGCGCTTGGTACCTGGTCTGAGCTCTTGCATGATAGCCCTGCCAGTGTGTATTTTAAGACAACCAGCGTGTTCCTCCATAGGTATAGAGGCTAGGTATGACTCACAAATCAGATATTTGACCAGGAGAGCCACACAGTGGAGTAGATCCGCGGCGTGGGTGGAAAGTGTGGATAGCTCACAAAGGGAACCTGACCGACCTCCATCTTTCCATCTGGTAAACAGACTCCTGTTTCAACTCAATTGGTCTATCAAAAGAATAATCATTTCAAATCACCAAACAGACTGGTTACAGATGAGTCCGCACCTGAAAGATCAACATATCCGGGTGTAAAGGCGTAAAGTTGCTGTTTTAAATTCGCGTCATAAAAAGAAAACTTCTACCTTCAGGATGTCGCCTTTTCAAGCCGGCATGACAGTCAAGCTTTTACGCTGTCACTCACGACAGCTATTTTCTACAGATCCAGCTTTTCTTCGAGTCATTTTGTAAAGCATCCTCACAGGCTTCAGATGAAACTAGGCCCTGCAGAGAACAATAGAGTTCAGCTGAACAGCCTTGATCACCGCGCCTGTGCTGTGTGCTCTCTCCAGGTGCGACGTGAAAACTCACAGAGTCACGGTAAGAATAAAACACAGCCTGCAGGTTTATGACTAAGTGTTATCAAATGTATTCCTTTATAACCACGGGGTCTCACATTACAGAGGACTGTATTGATTTTTCCAGACTGCAGAGTGCACTGGACGTGGCTTTGTTTTTCTCAGGCTGTGTTCTTTCTCTGCAGCCTGCATCATAACTTTACTTTTTTGACATGAAATATCAATAAACCCCATGCTGAAATATGCATTCTATTATGCTCGCGATAGGGAAAAACAAAACTACTCTTCTGCAAATACAAATGTCTGTGTTTACGTTCGGGGAATTATTGGTGTGTGCAACATCTTTACATCTCTGCTTCGCCTCATTGCATTTCCAGCGCTGGCTTGGCTCTGGCGCATTATTCACCAGAGCGATCATGGGTACATCTTTTCCCCCCACCTACACCTGGAGCACGCAGGGTCTGACACATTCATTGTTGGCCGTGCACCTGCAACACTCTGACCTGCATCCCAATGATTCCTTCCCCTACAAGTCGCCACCTCCCCCCACCTCCCCGGGCCCTCCCTGTGCAGCTCTCGCCTCAGATTCGACAGAGCATCATAGCCAGGCCCATTTCTCCCCTAATAGTGCAGACAATGGCGAGTGAGCCTCCTCGATCTTATCTTTCCTCCTCTGTCTGCTCCTCACAAAGAATTCTTCAGCAGGGCCATGTAATTACATAGTGATCACAGCGGGGAAAAATATCACAGATAACCCATTCCCTCTGTTGGTGTGTCTGAGCCCGTACTTGACGCCATGCATTTGAGATATATGTGCTGGTTTAGATCAGAACAGAACGTTTTAACGGAGAGTTATCTGCTCGCTTTGGCATCGCCTGCAGTGCTGCCTTGAACCGCTCTCAGGGTTGAGATTTTAGTATCTTATCACACAGACCTGATTGCAGAACTACTCGCCAAATCCTCTGTCATCCCGTGTGGATTTGTGTGTCTGAGAGAGAGAGAGGTTGCAAATGTGAAGTAAAACATGCACCGGAATAGTTTCCTGCAATCGTCTCACAATTGTATTTAAAACGGCTAAACCTGAAAATGTGCTTTGTGTTGTGTATTTCCATTATGCTGTGCATCGCAGTAACTGCAATAATTTTCACAAGGGGATTTGGAAATGGACCTGTGCACTTGCCTTGAGATTTATGCGGACCTGATATTGTTTTCTTACAGCGAAGAAAGACTTTGCTGCTTAAATTACCATTCACAGTGAGATATTCACTCTCATCTACGAGGACTTTGGAAAATTGTAATAACAATAAAAACCGCAAAAATCTATTTAAAAAAGGCAATAATAATTCTCGAAAACTATTCGCAAGAAAGTTATTAAAATGAAATGGAAAAGCAAATGGAGAAAAGATGAGCCAGGAAGTCTAGAAACTCATAACACTGCGATACAGGAGTAGACAAACCCCCCGGAAATTAAAGTTTAAAGTCGGTGATAGGAAAATTCGAAAGACAACCTTGACTATGCTTGGAGAAAAAAGGTGTAAAGGCAGGGCACTTCACTGTTAACCAGAGGAGTTTACTTCTCCGAGTTTGTCTGCTCAGGCAGACCTTCCTCCAGGGCTTTATACAAATATCACCTCCTTCAGCGGGACTCTAACTGGCCCTCATATCAACTATCTCTAACCTAAAGCATCTGATTGTTAGACCTTGTTGGTGGAAGTACACAGCTACAGCCGCAGAGGCTCAGTCCAGGGAAATAAAGTCCCATCTCCTCTGCACTCACCTTTCTTCTACTGTCAATACAGGGGACAGCCGCAGGATGTCAGGCTGAGGAAAATAAAAAGTTCTGCTGGCAATCGCTCAGATCTAAGTTATTATGTGCTAGAAGATTATCTTTGAATCTTGCCGCAAATAAGCTAATGATGAAGTCAAGATGTATGGTCTCTTAATGGATGTGACTCGACTCTGACTGCGGTATTTTAATGACTTGGATGCTGCAGGCAAAAATATATGAGGTGAGAAGATCTCTTGATGTGAGTGCTAAATGTCTGAGAGGATGTGATCCTGTTAGTTTTTCTAATAGGCCTCTTTGAGCCACAGTGGTGACTGGGCACTTTGCGGTGTTAATTTTCAAGAGTCAGGGATTAGTCTGCCACTTTGTTTTAAGAAAAAAAAAAAGTGGACCTTGAAAAAAGTATTGAGTTTGGAAAGAGTTTTGCCTCATAGATAAGAATCAAACTGAATTGGTGATCCCTCTAGATTAGAACAATAGACAGCATAGAAAGCAGCACAACACTGCAGTATGAATATATATTGATTCACTCTTGTAGAGCAGATTATCAATTGTATTGATACTCAGGAACTATGTTGTGTTTTAAGCATAACAAATATTGCTTGTGGATGTTTTTTCTGCACTGTTACCGATAGAGAAATCGAAATACATCTGCGCCGTTGGGGTTACTTTGCAGAAGTGACTCATTCACAGGATCCCAAATGCTTATTTCAGTCTTTTAATTGTTGTTCCTTGTATTTTAAGGTTCATGTCATGGCGTCATGCCTACTTACGTAACAAGAATGCTTCCCACAATAAACCCTGTTATAAAATCCTCTGTCTCAGATGTGTATTTGAACCAAACGAGGAGACTCTAGAAATTCTGAGAATAGAGTCTAAATCAGGGTACATTTTTTACCTTAAATGTACAAACATCAAACATTAGATACAGGGTGAGAAAACAGTGCAAGAGTGACAAGAGCAAAAGAGGATTCTGAAACAAATAGGATAAAAATAGGTGGTTATGTAACAGGTAGGTTATCAAAGTCTCTGTATGCTACCTTTCAAACCCTTGGCTCACTCTGATGACAGTCACCCTGTGTCCAGTTGTGACCTGGACACCCATTGGCTGTCTGCGTGTTTGGTGCTGACGATGTCGCACATCTCTGAGGGCGTCTGACCTGGTAGCCATGTCAGCAGCGTGCTGGCTCTACTGCATACAGCCAGAACAATGGACGATTGTCCACTCAGTGAACACGAGAAGCTTGTCCAGTGCCGCATTCAATAACCCGCCAACTCTAGAAGAACTGGACACAATCTCAGAGATGGAGCTATTCTCTGTAAACAGACTCTCATTCTCACTGAGATTATGATTCATCACAGCAAGTGTCTCGACTAATGGACCGGGAAGATTTATGGGGAATGTGTTTTTGTGACATGCACATTTCGCATAACTTCCTCTCACAGTGAGACAAAGTGTCAGGAGGCTGCACACTGACATGTATTTCAGAGCCAGAATCAGAGATGCGAAACAGAAGCCAGATCAGACAATTACCCTCAGACAAGTTAACCAGCCGAAACAAGAACGGGCACGGATGAATACAATGGAACTGTCACAAGCTGCTTCTGAAGGGTTATCTTTATTTTGAAAGGGAAAAGGGGGGAAAACAAGAGCATGCATCCTCCTCTCAACAGCTCATGTGCATCTCATGTCTGATAACAACACAAGCTGTCAATAAAGCTGAAATACCACAGAAATAAATCCAGAATTGTATGTATGATATGATATGAATGAAATGTGAATCTTTTCAACAAAAAAGGGGGTTGTATACATTGTGATCTTGTGTTTTAAGAACTTAATCAACACAATTAATTAAACAAAAACATCAAAACAAGACAGACTATAGAGACAGAAAGCATTACTAAAGCTTATTAATACATTTCAAAGGAAGTGTACTTCAATGGTGTGGATTTATTCATTTCTTTACTTTAAATTCATCGGAGCACATGCCTCTGTTTGCATGGTTTCTCCAAATAAAAAGGTGTGATGTGTGTCCAACTGCGCACTGGGACTGGAAAATTGCTTGAGCACTGAGAGTGAGGGATTATTGCCACACTAATACACACACACTCACACATATACACACTCACTTATATTACTTAAGAGGACATCGCACTGACGTACACTTATACCCTGGAGGATTAAGTCTGACCTCAACCCTCACACCAAACTTTATCTAGTGTTAAGAGTAGCCTTTAATTCTTAATGAGGAGGATTTTCCAAAATAAATTATCGGGTAAAATGAAAAACCCTCTCAGTCGTCACCTATGACCCTCGAGAAGTCTGTACTCTTGTTTGTATCTGCAGACATACTGCCCCCGGTCTCTTATTTTTCGGTTTCTGGAACCTTTTGGCGGTGGTGTGTAGCCCACAGCCAATATCAGCATGCAGGTTAGAGGTCAAATAAACGTAGCAGATAGGTCACGCAGCTGTCTTCATCTCTGGCCTCTCGATGAGGACAAAGCAGTCATAAGGAAGCTGGTGGATTCACAGGAAACCCAGCGTTGGCAGGGTGTTTTAGCAGACATATGGGCATGCCCGTTTAAGCTTTAAAAAGCAAACACCGTGAAAGAAACTGAAAATCAAGTTTATTTCTTTGCTCTCACCTTCACAACTTCCTCTCTTAACTCACTCAACCATCGCTTCACTTTCACCGCTTCTTGAGCCGGGGAGGTACGGCCAATATTAAATGGAGCATTGACAAACAGTACGCAATTAATCCTACTCACTCTGCCTTTCTCATTCTGGCTTCTATTGTGGAGACAAACTTTTAGCCTGAGAGAGATAGTCCCTGCAATGCTCAATGCAAACAGTGGAGTCAGCAGGGTTTTACATCAGGGGCATGTCTATTAACTTCCTACTAAGTACAACTTAGGTGTCTCTGTAGAAGTTTGTGGCACTAAAGCATCGCTAACAAATGCAGCTGCAATGTAGAGTGTGATTAAAAGAAAATCTGCTCACTCAAGTGCAAAGAATGCAGCTTGTTGTAACTATGGATGATCCAAAGGTGACTAATTTCCTTGTTGTTAAGCCAAAAAACTCAATTCATAAAAAACAGTACACACAAGATGGGGCCAACTTAGTCAAAGTGGTTTGACGTTTGTGGTTGAAAATCACACAGCCTCCTGCAGGTAAACATCCACGTCTTTGGTGGTTACACATTGCTCCTGTATGAATTCTGTGATGCAAATTTTACGGATGACATTGCAGAATTTCACAATAAGAATACTCACCTGTAAAATGCTGAATATTGCAGAATTTTTTTGTCAAGCAAGTCTGAATTTTCTTTTAAAGATGTGTGTACCAATCTGTGAGTACTTCACAGCACCTGAGCTTCATAAACAGATAAAAACTAGTTTGCAAAGTCTCATATTTTGGCCTCTGCAGCTTCTCTATTTGGCTAGATGTGATGCCAACTGAGATGTAAAAATCATCACAAGTAAAATGAAAGTTCTGCCTCTAACAAGGACATCAGCCAATCAGGATTTCAAGGTGGCACATGAGGTAGCCAATTAAAATTTCTAGGGTTGTGCATGCCACCCTTCTGGCCACATCCCTGTTTTATGTCAAAGTACACACAAAAACCATCCAGCTGCACCTGGGTCAACAATAAACTGTGAATAAAAAGTTGGAATTAAAAAGCGAATTTTTTCCCTGGTCGAGCAACTTAATTCAGTGGACAAACAGGTCAAAGAGATGTAGCTACACAAAAGGGAAAAAAATAATCATGTAGGATATTTGATCAGACTATCTGCTAATTTTGTATTTGGTTAATCAGGACAGAATAAAAAAAAAATGTCCACAGAGAGTACAGGATTAAAGATCCGTATGCCAGTGAATTCAAGGTAACACACAGCCATGCCAGGTGAGTTACATCTCTGTATCAATAAACAGAAACAAAGCAGATGCATAGAGGAAATCTCGAGTCGAGTAATGAGACAAGGTTAAAAAGGTATTTAACCTAGAAATAACTCCGGTTTCACTGTATAAATAATTTTGTAGCCTCTAGTCATTCCAATTAACAAAGAGGACGAATAAATGTAAACAATTACTGTGGGAAATACAATGAAAGCAACATCAGCCTGAATCCATATAATACATCTGACTGGGGATACAGTGGAGCTATTAACAGATATAATCTCACACTGAATTATAAATCACGGCCAAGGCTGCGAGTGTCTACACCTCACATGGAGCTTAGATTGGGCTTTCTCTAACTTCGACCATGGCCTCCTTATGTTTTACTCTCAAATCAATTAAAAAACAAATAATTTTTACAGTGGAGCTTCTGGCTTTTCTCCTTACAGAATTATTAATACAAAAGTAAATACACAGGCTTTGACAAGAAAACCTTGAAAGATGGCGTGACAGTTCAGGGTTTTACTATATTTTCCCTCTTGAATATAAAGTAGATTTAAGAATTGTATCTTTTGACAGGAGTGAAGGGGGGATAATATTTGACTGGCTGATAGAGACCCTTTGGTTTCCCTAATGCCCTGACTGTATTTACTGGCAAATATCACTCCTGATTGGCCTTCGACCTCAAAGTAGAGGGTACATGACAGCTCTATGCATAATCTATTGATAAATAACCTCGTATTGATCCACCCGGCCCCACTGTGGGAGTGCATGCGAGTGCTTCGACACTGATTGAGCAGTTAAAAAACACTATCTTCTGTCATCAATAGCTCCTACGTGGCACTCAATTGGAGTTTAACAATCCTATTTGAAAGAGAAGAGCTTCCTTAATTTGCAAAATGTCAATGGTGATTGAGGTCTCCCCCCGAATCAATGTAAGTGTCAGATGCTTCTCTTCAGAGAGCACTTGAAATCCCACCGGATTTGCATCTGAAAACAGTCGTCCTGTCATCTGATTTTTTATGTATGCTCTCGCTGCTGCTGCTGCGGCACTGTATACATTTCAAGCTTAAAAGAGCGGAGACACACACAAAAAAAAACAACACTCGCACACCACTGCACACCGCACAGCCAGAGGAGGAGAAAAACACACACATTGGCCAAGCATCATCTCCAGGGAAATACAGACAAAATGAAACCGAAGCTAATGAAAGTTCCACTCTTCCATTTCCACATTCAAAACCAACAGGTGTTTTAGCATAACTACCCAAGGCCCAAGCTGCACTCTAATAATTTAGTCTCTCCATAAAGGTCCACACTGTGCAGTCCGATGTCACTGCTATATATTACTTTTAGTGTCGTTTGTTAGCAACTGATGTACCCTTGGGCTCTGCTGTAATAACACAACACAAGGACCGAATCTGGATGAAGTTTGTCACGCACACTTTGAGTCCACACTGTTTAGTGCTGTCTCTGTGCACATATGTAGTAAAAAAAAAAACACACAAACACAGTAGTTAAATTCAGCACATCTCACGGATGGCTTCACCTACCTATAGCTTTATCTTTCCCGCCATGAGGACAGGTTTAATACGGCTAGGTTTGGGAGTATCTGCAAACATTGAGGGACATAGCTGCTCATTACATTTGATTTTATTGTCACAGATCAAACTACCCAGGGGGCTTTTAAATGAAGGACAACTTCGCCTCAACTCCTGCCTGTACTATAAAATCCCACTTGAGATAATTTCACATCAGCGAGATGGAAATAATGACACACATAAGAAAAAAGCACTTCGTGAAGCAGCTTCCCTGCATTATGCCCACAAATTACATGAATGCTTTTAAAAGTCAGAGTTCTGCTTGTTGATATGTCTGCACTTACACGCACTAATGTAAAAGTCATGATGACATATAATGGGTTGTTCAATACGGATTATTTTCTGCATTAGGTTGTTATGAAAAGTTAGACTATCTATGTTCTTCCCACGTCCACCACTTTGTCTACCCCCAAACAAAAAAACAAAAGAGCTGAGTGAGTTTTTCTGTGATGTGATGCCGCCTGCTTTAGCGATTGCTTCTTCAAAGAAATCAAGAACAAATATCTCTTTCCCTAAAACAATATTGGCACATTTGAGTAAAGCCGCCGTGGCTCGCTGCCATTCCGAGTACCTGGGAGAAAACAAACACAGCAGATAGAAGGAGCATTGTCTTCTCTCTTCCCCTCCCTTGCGTCTCAAGTTGGCGTGCGGTGACTCCTCGTCTATTTCTTGCTGCTCTTCAGTGACATGCCTGTCTACATTAGAGCCCTCGCATGGGCATGCAGTCCAAACAGAGCCTCGTGCCAGTGGCCTCCAGGGACAGCACAACGGCCATGTGAGCAGTTCACCTCCTGTCCCTTCTAACTTGTTGGCTCGCTGCACAAAGTTGATTGTGTTTTGTTGCCACCACTTTAAATGAACTTGGCTGTGGTGCTGAACAACATAATATATGTACCGAAGAATATTTTCAACTTGTGGAGCGTTCTGATATGAAGTTAGGGATGATAACTTAATGCAAGTGGCGTGAGGGGCAAGGCTAAATTGTGCTGTATTTCAATAGAATTTAGTTAACTCAGTGGCATTAATAATGGAAAATTCTGTTTAAAGGTGGGGTAGGCAGGATCTGACGGAGGTGCCAGTTTTGGGGAGAAATCTTGAGTTTTCCCCTCAGCTCCTCCTCTCCCTCCATCTCTGCTCCAGCAAGCCCCGCTCACAAACAGACACTCCTGCTCGCTTCTGTCATTTTGATTAAATTCAGATATAATGCAGATAACTACTTAAGATAATTACAAATGGGGCCCAGTCAACGTGAAAGTAAAAAGCATTGGTGCTACTGTAAATGCCAACAAACTACCAGCAAACACAATGTTTGCAGGACTTCTAAAACTAGGATAAAGTGACATACTCCAGGACCCGAGGTAAACAGTTTAGCGGCGCTACAACACGCTGCCTGTCCCGTTTGACCAGAAACACTTCTGTTACACTTGGCTTACTTTGGTAAAGCGGTTTACCTGTCCAGCAGAAAGGTTACAGTGTCCGTAAGATCCCAAAGCTCCCCCCATCATTGTTGACCCGGCTTTTTAGCTCTTGTCCGGTCTACCTCCTTTTTAAGCGCCCGTTATTCCTCCAGAGTCTCCGGTATTAACTTTGTTTTCTTGCTTGTTTGGCAGTTGTGGCTACAGGAGGATTCAGACAATTTTCTGTACTTTCTGTTTGGTTTCTACATTTCGATATTGTAGCTCCTGAACGACACAGGGGAGCAGCGTCTGCCTCACAACCAATCAGCACTAAGGAGTAGCGCCCACCTCACAACCAATCAGGTTGAGGGAGGTGGGGAATGGCTTTGTTTACAGTCAGAAAGAGCGGAGTGCTCTGAAATTTTAAAATGTTGACTACACAGACACAACAAAACACAGCGATACTGTGATATTACCAAATGTCATCAATGAGTAATGGCTATTCACTAATATTAAAAGCTTTTTTTTTATATACACCACAAAAAAGATGCTTCTTTAACGGATTCCTGCCTACTCCACCTTTAACTCGCAGACCTGATAAAATCAAAATGGATGTGTTACAAATAAGTTATACTTTTCCTATAAACAGGGTTCCTACACAGTTGGAATTTCCATACTTTAAGACCTGGAAATTGATCAAATTTAGTCTATACTTTTCCATACTTGCATAGGAGCCCTGTATAAAGGTTCCCTAGTTGTGTGTTCAGTGGAAATTAGCAACTGCTAGAATGCCAATACGCTTTCCAAAGATAGGTATCATTACAGGTAGTTATTACCCTTGGCTTGTCAATACTTTGCCACATAAGCATTAAACTCAGATTGTCAGTGTCTCTTCCATCATGTTATTGAGTTTCTAGCGTGACTGCTGCATTGTGACAACAGGTTTGTGATATCTAAGGTAAATAGTGGTTAACCACTTCTGTGTTAAATGGCAACTAAATGTCAGCATGCTTAAGTGAGATGAGTATCATTAAAGGTAATCCTTGTCCTCTGCATGATAACACTGCATGATATTGTTATGTTGGTTGTTTGCATTATGCTTCAAGTGTTACTGTCCCTTGTATAGTATGACTGCTACAAAAGGTTTTGGTGATTTGTGGTAACAAGTGGTTAATCCTCTCTGTGTTTAGGGCCAATTTGCACAAGTAAGAATAATAAAATGCTCAAAACGTCTGCTAAAAAAACAGCATGTTAGCACTGTGATTTGGAGCTTGTTTGCATGCAGTTTTTAGCATTCAGACCAAGTACAACTGCTTTATAGAACAGCCTCAAAGCCACTGCAGACTCTTATTTAGTCTTGTTACTTTCTTTTCGCTCCCTTTCTCCCTCAAATTTAACATCTTTTATGTGTTGAGTGGGAATTCTCCCTGAAAGCGGATCCACAGGATCCACTTAAGTATAAAATAATTTCTAACGGGCTGTGTGATTTCAGAGCGGGGTGAGGAAAAGCCTTAAGAAAGCTTTAAAACAGAGAGCATAGCACAAACCCTGGTCTGAGACGCACCACAACAGATGCCTCCGCTTTGAAACAGCAGACACTCGCAGGCTGCACTAAGAGAAGCTTTTTAACAAATTCACCTAACTCATTTAGCAGGATTTGAGGACCTGTGAGAAGACAGGAAAATGCCTGGAAAAACAGTTCACATTGATTTATGGAGACGTTTTACGCTCTTATAAGGTTTCCATGGTGAAAACAGACTCAGATGTTATTTAGTCATACAGCACAGAAGTCTAGTATGGCTGAGTGACTTTGTAATTCTGGCTCTGTCCAAATGTTGCATGAAAAACATATCACCGCTTTAAAACAAACGACAATGAGCCCTGTGATAATGCCTTTCAGCACTCACTGGATCGTTTCCCACAGAAGTAAAAGGGACATTTTTCTTTTTCGGAGGGATAAGTGCGAGGCCGACCAGCAGCCAGCAGAGACCTCCTCATGCTTCTCCACTCATCCCCGTAAGAGGATCGGACGTAATGGGGTTTCCTCTTCTCTGGCTCCTTCTGCTCGGCAGATTAACTGCAGAAAACTTCCAACAAAGTCTAAGAGTGCTATTCTAGTCACATTTTACAGTCATACTGCCAACAAGTTTTGAAGGAACACTGGTGTGACCCTAGTGTGAGCAGGGCTAAGCTTTTAAGCAGGTGCCCTCTTCCCTCGTCCAACACAGCGGGACAAAGTGGGGGTAATGGCTTGACTTGCAGAGACAAGCTCTGAACGCGTATACAAATCAAGGGTGGCACCTCGTTGAAGAGTCAGAGTGAATCTTTATCAGATATAAGTGGAGACACAAAAGAGACAAACAAGAGTATGTCCAAAAACAAAGGAAGGTTGTACTAGATTGTGTTTTCATTTGCTCATACAGTCTTGCACGCTATTACGAACCGGAATAATAAAGTGGACCATCCCCCCAGGCCTGTGGGAATAGCCAAGACATTAATATCAGGCGTGCTTGGCTTCTCATATTCTCCCTGTGGCAGCCTGCTGACCTAATGACCTCGTGTCAGAAGCAATGACAACATGTCCAACACGGGGATATTTTATTCAGTTTATTAATATTGCATTGTTCGTTCACACAGCATCGCGTTTGTGTAAGTGTACACCTGCTCCAATGAGCATCAGCACAACACACAACTCTATCACAGCACTGTTTCCCCCCCCTAAAAAAAGGCCAAATAGGGACATTTGAAATATCAGACTCTGAGGCAACAATTCTCCATGTGGTTATCAGCTCAAGTGTTGCCTTTGCGTGTCTGGATTATTCTTGGAGAACAGTTTTTACCCTCAAACGGCTACTGACTCTCTTTTTTTTGAAAACATCCCAAATAAAATGTAAAAAAGTTTTTTTTTATTTCTGCTCTTTTTCTCATCTATTTCCAACATCAAATTTATGCCTGCTACCGCTCAGTCCTGGCACTCACACTCAGCATGGCTGCAGTTCCATCCAGCCGGATCATTTCATTTAAATGCATTCATTTGCATCCTAAGTTTACTGCAGCAGTCACACCAAAATCCGCTCCCCATAAATCAGAAACAAAAGATCTTATCATGAATTGATCAGGACTGGTACCATTCTCACACAGTTCACTCTGAGCGAACTCTGACCTGGTAAAACACCATGTCACACGTGTGACCTAATAAATCAAAAGAGCAGGTGGGATTGACCTCTCTTTAACTAACTATTGATCATTTGTATCCTTGTTTGTTCAACTGAATGGAGAACATATGCAGCAGGTGAAGGTTCACTAAACGAAAGGATTTCTTCATGTTTAAAACCATTCATCTCTTTGCCTGTCAGCCATGCTAGTATGTGCAGTGCATGCTTGTAACCCAGCCCATATTTCTTCCTCTGTCTCACCTGCTTATTGCTGCAGCTTGTGACTATATTTCACCGTGCCAATTTTTCTCCGACCAGGGTATAAGTCAGCATCAGATTAAATGGCTGGGAACCAGCAGGGTTTGGGTTAAGGGTCAGGAGCACAAGTGAGTGGCAGAGGTACAAGCAGTTTCCTGAAGGGCCTCAAGTGCTGTATTTTAATTCCATGTTGATGCAGTCTAATCCAAGAGGGATCAACTTATTTTGTTGGTTATTTTCTGTTTTTGTCACCCAGCTCACCCTAAACTCTTCTCTATCTTAAACTTGTGCACACTGCTCTGTATCTGAGTCCAAGGTTTAAATCAAACTGACATGAAAACCCGCTGAAAAGTCAGATGGGGCGAACATTTAAACTCGTATTCAGTAATTCTCTTGTTCCACAGTAAATAATTCAAGACTTAAAGGAAGGGCGGTGCACTAACCATTAAATTTTATTAGCATCATTTATATTGCAGCTTTTAATTTCCATCTACAAGCAAATTCCTGTGAGTCTTTCTGGAAATGTCAAGTACAGGGAATATTCTGCTTTTTTTCTCTCCTCCTATAATCCTTTTGTTTTATTGTCAAAATCCTTTTTCCCAACTTTTATCTCAGCAGAGGTCTTTCCTAACCTTTCGCTGGAGACTTTCATTTACAAGAACTGACTTTCATTACTAGTTATAAATACTGTAAAGATAAAGTTGGTATCTGTGGCTGGCCTTATTGGACCTGAAAGTTACATCAACTGTGAGCCTCTGCATCTAAATAGATTGATAAACATGTGAATTATCATCTGTGCATGTTTTACATGTATTCATCCTTCTACTGTGCAAACTTGTGTGTTTTTAAATTAATCATCTCAAGTTGACTTTTTATGTTTAAGTGCTTTTATTCAGAGCAAATGAGAGTGAATATGGTTTGACAGTAGGGAAGAGAGAGAGAGGAGTGAATAAGAAAAAGGCCACCAAGAGCTGCACACTTTGTACACGGGTGCATGGTTTAACCACTGATGCGCTGTTATTGTCATGAAAAATGCATATGCTACATGTGTTGTTTATTGCAATGTTATGCAATTTGAGTAGGGGCGCCCTGATAAAACTTTTTGACTTCTGATATGATACCGATCTTGTAGCCTTCAATATTGACCGATACATATATTGATCCAATATTGGCACAAAATTGTGCATGACAAGTTTTTCACTCAGCCGCAATGTCTTTTTCAGACTTAAACAAAAATGACAGCCACAAGGCCAAGATCACTCCTACTTCTTGCTACTTTGTTAGTACCTTAATACACACTGTTGTTGTGATTTTGTGGGCTGAGCTTGCTGGATCAGGGCGCTGCAAGATAGAGGTGCTGGAGCGGAGTCTGGAATGGACTGCTTGTATCGGAGTGCTGATATTGTAGATTTTAGATGCAGGCCGATATAATCTGATATTCATTTTTTTCCTGATATCAGACCTATATCTGGTATCAATATCCTATCGAGACACCCCTAAATTTAAGTGTTGATGTTCTTTAAACCATGGGTTTTGCTCTGATTTGTGCTGATTTCTTTACTCTTATAAATGTATTAAAACACATTAAGTGTATATGAAAAAACCTGCTCCCGAATCAACCAAATTCTGATTACAAGCCAAAGTATGAAAATCACAACCTCCTGGCTATAGCAAATATAACAATTTGTATAATTTGACAATGATATGATTATAATGACAAACTCTGTGCTTGATTCATCATCAGTTTTGACTTTTTATGACCTGTGTGGTTTGGAGAACGATGTCATCTCAGTTGAGAAAATGGAAAAACTTCCTGCATTATCTGTATTTAAGATGCTTGTTAGAGAGTTATAATGTAGTGAACAGGCTCTTTGTGTCACACTCGGGAAAGAAAATAGCCAATTAGCTTGAGATGGAGAGAAAATGCAAAAGCTAAAAGCAGGGACAGTTGTTTTTTATATTCCCTCAGCAAAGGGTGGAGTATTTGTATGTATATATGCAGTATGAGAAAATCTATGGGTACATACTGTATATACATATGCCGCATACCAAACATCCTAGCCTTGTCTTCTATCAGAGGGCTGAATGCAGGACTAGATATGTGACTAATTGACCCGAGCTTCTGCATGCATCAGAGTACAAATGGCAGCCGTGTTTGGGGAAACACAAATAATTAACCTTTGCCATTTTGTGTCACTTTGAGAGCTTATTCTGTCACACACACATACACACTCACTCATACACACACACCAACACAGCTCTCATATTCCTCTGGTGTCCGTCTTTTACCACTGTCGGCTGAATAGATCACACTGCAAGGCTTCAATCTCCTTCAAATCAATCACCGTGATGATTCTTTGAAAAAAGGGGAGATAAAAAGCCGAGCGGAGCCTGTCAGGGCTATGAGAGGCGAGGACGTCAATGCCTCACTTAGACAGCTCGTCTGAAGGGGCCGCATCCCCAGACAGGAGGACAAGACCGAGTTCACCTGCATTCAATACAAAGTTTTTGCCTCAGTCTATGGCGAAAAGGAATGCGACAGAGAATCGCATGCTGCTCTCCCTGATGTAAATGTCATCTGGAGAAAAATCAATTTCATGATTCATTCAAGAGGCCGGGACTTACAAATGGACAAAGTTGCCCCGTCCTTTCAACTGTAGCACCAGCCTCGTCCCTGAGATTGACTCATGAGCAGAGCGTGAGGATTGGGTGATTCCTCAAGATGAGCACAACATCATGGCTCCTGGTAACAATTCAAAAGTTTGGATAATTGATTTTTCTTCCCCCTCCTGTGGCATTGTTGCTTCTCATTTCCACCACAGCATGAAAGGCAGAGAAATAAAAACATCTTAGCAGCAAATCGGCCTCACCATGGCAACAGTATTGATCAACCCTCCTGGGTCCTCAGAAAAATCTATCCCCCATGTCAATTTCCCTGCATTAACAGTTCAGCAGCTACTCATGTCCCGAATAGACGGCCATGATATTTAGCGTCTGGCAATAAAAGTCTACGATCACTATTTAGCTTCCCTGATGATTCATTTATCACAGGGGTGAGGCGCCAAATGACCTGATGATATTCAGCGAGAACAAAGCAGGAAATAGGCTAGGAGGACAGCTCAGGGAGAGGTCATGTACACAGACTGTCAGTGGAAAGATTTAACTTCAAAGCTTATCAGATTGTGAAGTTATGGAGCATATCAAATAATCACATCTGATTTTAAATGGACTCTGAATTTGTTCTGAGCTCTCCATCCTTTTGATTTAAGACGAAAACCTGCTTTGCTTCTTTAATTATATCTGAGCGGGTCCTCTCTTAAACTTTTGACTTTGATACTTGATGGATTATGGTCGAAAACAATCTCAGAACCTTGGGATTGCTGCCACACTCTAATCAAAGGCTGTAAAACTAATGAGGCTAAATGGGCTGGGAGCTCTCACTTCTGACACATATTGATTATACAGTATCATGCAGCCTCACATTTAAGTCATCATCGTTTATTATCAGCGCTATCATCACCACCAGTGGAAAAAAAAGGAAAAAGCTGAAGGGCAAATGGGATCTGGATTTATCTTGCGTGCAGATTTTTTTTACTATGGTGATTAAATCCACCTGTCTGCCAGCACTTTGGGGAAATGAGAAGAAATGCGGAGTGACGGGTGAAGCTGCACGACAACAGCTGTCAATCCACAGAGCTTAGATGCAGCATCACACATGGACTACACCTCACACTCCCACAGCTTTGCACTCACAGACAGACAGACAGACAGACAGGGCTGGTATTAGGAGACAAGACGGTCTCTTCATCCTTAAATCTACAAATTCATACGTGTTAATGGATTAAGAGGAAGTCTCGCAGTGTTAGGCAACAAATTAGTCCACTGAGGATGCTCCTATTATTTCTAGACTTTTATCAACTCAAACTGATGAAAGTTTAATTTGCGAACTCAGCCAACAAAGAGTGAAGAGGAACCTAAGCCGGGGTTGGGTTGTGGTATAGACCATCAGTCTAATTGTCTATCCAGCGGAGACGTAAAACCACAAAGGAAGACGAGATGTGGTTTTAAAAAAAACAAACCTGAGTATTGCATGCTTAAGTGTGTCTGAAAACAAAAAGGAAAGAGAGTAGGATGGGGAGGGTTAAAAGCGTGTTAAGCGCTTTGACTGTCTTCCAGTTGCAGTTAAACAGCTACTTACAGCCAGGCCGGTGGTTTGTCCTAATTGAACAGAGAGGAAAACACAAAACGACAGGAGTGTGTTACGACGTGCAGCCACAAATCATTAGCACCAAGCGCTGCAGCTCAGAACATCCTCCCCGGGTGTAACACCACTGTCCTCACACAAGAGAGAGAGAAAAAACTGTGCACAAATCTGCACATTTGCAAGAAGCTTCCAAGTAATTAGGTGTTTTGCTATGCAGATGATGTGATTTAAATAATTAATCTGCTGTATTAGTGCCCTGCTGTGTTTTCCTCATTCCACTGCAGCACTAGCAGTAGGTCAGTTGAGACTCAGACAGCAGGAGCAGGGATGTCTTCTTACACAAAAGCCTTGCTCTCTTTATTTTGAAATTAGCCAAGCAAATTTATTTTATTTACTCACCGCTATCAAGCTCAATTGGGGTGCAAAGAGTTTGAAACAGCTCCCTTCTCCGGCCCAACCCTCAGCCTCCTCCTTCAGATAAAAGCAACTCAACCATAAATCTCAGCCGTCACGTTCAAAACAATTCATAAAAACGCCTGCAGACTCTTTCTCGTATAAGAGGCTCATATAATCATGTGCAATCACATGAAGCGGGGCCTGTTATTCTCAGGAGGCGGTTGTTGAGTTTGGGTGTGATTGTGTCAGGCTGTCAGTGCCCACTCATCCAGACTCTGGAGAGAGACTGGAACAGACGGGAGCTGTTCTTTCAGCACCACCGGGGACAGGCAACAGCACACTCAGCTGTCTCATCCACAGCACTGTGAAACAGAGGGGGGAAGCACCCAAATTCACACCACCTTGCTTTGATTGGCCCCTTTTTTTTCCTGAAATAGGGAGAAGTCTAGATGGAAGCTCGTTCTGGAAAAGGAACACAAATGTGTGAACACCTGAAACAGCAGATTTCTGTTCATATCAGCAGATTTGTGTCTGAGTTTTGTTGTTTACTACTTATAGCATCCCTGTTCTCATCTGCTCCCATCACTAGGTGGGTATAATGAGGCACAGCTTCCCCTAAAAAAAAAGAGCATTTCACCACAAAATCACAGTTTTAAAAGCAGCAAAACTATCCCACACGCTCAAAGACTTGCCTGAAAGAGGCGTAGGATGTTGGCAACCATAATCGATACCGAACTCGCCGAGGCTCCGATGACTCCCACCACTTTTTCCGGCTTGACAAACACCGGTGGCTCCCCGTTCGTGCACCTCACGTCGGAGGTGTCCTTCGTGATCAGGGCTTGCACGAAAGTTAACGATTGCTCCAGCGCGTAGGTATCCCTCGAACAAGTGTCCAGCACGCGCGCGCCTAAGGTGATGTTGGGTAGGAGTTGCTCGTCCTGGTTGATCTGGTCCAACGCGTACATCATGGCCTCGAGCCTCTGGATGCCGTTCTCCCTTTTCAGATCCCCACATGGCGTGCCGTCGGATCCCCTCGCGTGCACCGGGAAGAGTCCACCGAGGGTCAGGTGGCCCTCAGTCCGTATAGAGTGGGGGGCATAAGTCTCCTGAGGCAGCGCGAAATCCACCAGAGTCCTCATGAGCCAGAGCACTCTCCACATACAGCCCAACCTGACGCGCACACCGGGACGAGCCATGTTCAACTTTTAAAAGGGTGAGATAGAGAGTGTAATCCGCCGAAGATAAGGACCAAAAAGGAAGGCTGAGGAAGTTTGTTAAAACAAAGCCATTATTCTCTGTCACCAGGGAGGAGATTCAACAAGCTGGGCTGGAGATCCAAGACGCAGAGGATGGCTCAGACAAACTGCGCCCATCGCTTTGCTGCCTGGAGTGAGCGCTGCAGCTTGTTGAATAGTGAAGCGGTAATTCAGTTCCCCTGTTTTTTTTCCCGAGAGCGAGGTCTACACATCCACAAGTCAGAAAATATCTGTGGAAGAACAGAGCACCCTCCGCGAATGAAGTGGCCTGATTTTGTCCATTTATGCTCAATCCAAAACGCGCGAGTGGAAACAAAATGAAGCCGCAGCGCACAACCTGAAGAGGGAAATTCTACCACATTAAAGGAATAACCTCTTAAAATTCATACTTAAATGTCAGGACCGGCTGAAGTGGGTGACATTCTTCTCGCTTAAACCAACTCCATGGGAGCGCAGGAAAGGCTCGGTCGGCTGTCTGTCTCCCACGGGTGCTTATCATCTCCACAGTCTCCATAAAAGGAAGAAAGAGAAAGAACAAGAAAAGAAGAAAGAAAAGAGACGGCCGGTGCGGACTGAGACGCGTCCTCCGAGCAGAGGACTGAGAAAATCCAGCTAATTAAAGCCCGGGCTCTTTCTCCGGCTCTGCAACCGGTCGCATTTATACAAAATGAATGAGTCACAGCGAGGGATTCACTGTGTGCGCCGAGTTTTCAGCCCCCTTTCCTTGCGAGACGTCATTCAGCAGGCTGAGAGAGAGAGAAAGAGAGAGAGGGAGGGAGAGAGAGAGAAAAAAGAGAGTAGCATCTCTTCACGGCATGGTTTTCAGGAAGTTGACGTTCAGCGTCTTCAGACATCAACTCAACGAGAAGGTAAACAAGGCGAGCCAATGCACTTACTGACTTTAATAGTACGACAATTGTTCTTCTGAGTGCCTCTCTGCGCTGCGTCTCCGCATTCATAATCTCTTTCTCTCTCTTTTTTTCCCTCTTCTCCTTCTTCGCTCCCCTCCTCCCCTCTTTTATCTCCTCACACAAACACAGAAGAAGTGTTTCCCCGTCTTTCTGCTTTTGATGGAGACAGAGGCAGCCGTGAAGCAGAGATCTGTGGCATTATGAAAACATGGCACAGAGCTGCAGGTCTGAGAGGCTTTCCTGAAATAGTTTTGGATTCATTACTGATGCACCTTTAAAACGGAGGAGGGAGGAGAGGGGAGGGAGGGAGGAAGAGGAGGAGGAGGAGGAAGAACAGACACATTTGGAGGGGTCCAGGCTGGTCTCCCAGGCAACCCTTCTTCAGAAGACACTCCTGATTCATCCTGTGTGCACACAACACACACAACACACTCACATGAAGCTGGCACGCTCACTGGCACGCAGGCTGGTGAGAATTAACCACACCTCCAGGAGCAAAAGAAGCCCTCACATATTCCTAACAAAACACTATCATCACCAGCAAACTATTTAATTGCACAGATGGTGCTTTTACAAACAAGCAGATTATGATAATGTGCTTTCGTGGGCAGGCATTAGCCGGGGACTCACTTGGCAATTTTGTGGCATTAATTTGAAAAAAGGTGTGAGAAAAAGCATATATTAACGAGAAAAAGGGAGCTCAGCCGGACCCATTCAGCCATTTAGAAGTTGATGAAAGGTAACAACTGAGCATCCAGCAGATCCATAATTCATGTGTGAGCTTTCATTTTCAAGTTACCTTAGAAACTGACCACTTCTAAACCAACAGCCACACAGCCAACAAAAGCACTGACTGGGGCTGGCCCTGATAGAAAATTACAACAGCACTAAGTATAGTAAATGGATTATGGAATAAATCAGTTCTGTTGCCTGATCTTGTAGTCATAAACAGCCTCTGAGAGTTATCATATGCAGAAAATGATTATGAGGCATAGAATCCCAATTTATGAACATGTTCGTTCCGTTCATTTCTGTTCAATTAAAAGATTAGAAAAGGCGATGTCGCTCTAATTGAAACATGTCCTATTGACATTACAGGCTCCGATGGACACATTTCTAATTAATTAAGTTGAATAGAGATTAATTCAAGTCTAATCCGGCCATGTAGTGTGTTTATCTCCATTAGCTGTTTTGATTGCCTGAGTATCTTTGAAAAGCAGGATCATTCATGTCCGAGTCTGAGGGTGTTGATGTGGTTTCTGGGAGCACAAACTGTTCTCTGGGGCCAAAATTCATGAGATGCACCAAAAATACATTTGAGGAAAGTGTGTGGGAACTGCCGGGAAGAGACTGCTGCGGAGAGAGATGAGGGATGTGAGAGGGGAGGGAGGCAGATGGTCTCCTCTACACTGAGCGCGCTCACACAGTCAGGCAAGGAGCGAGGGGGGGAAAAGAAAAAAAAAAGAAAATGCAGCAACAGCCCCTACAAATGACACCCTGAGAGACTGGTGTCGCCACGCAAGACACTAATTCCACAGCTTGGACAGTGCGGTGAGAGGCTGACTCCCACTTACACTGTCAACGAAAAGGTTACTTTTGAAAAATGGGGCCCTCACTGTGATTTAATTCACTGACTAACCCCGCGAAGAGGGGCCTTTCCCCATGGGAAGGCCGGGTGATTTAGACTGAGATTACACTTCGGTTTGGATCTTCTCCATTTTCTACTTTCCGAATGTCCACACAGTCATGTGCACATGCACAAAAACACACACACGGGGATAAATTCTGTTTTAATGTCATCATGGGACATGAAAGAAGCAAGAAGCAAGGAGTGAAGGTCCTAGAAGAAGTCTGTTTTCATCATAGAGCTGACCTAACCAGCAGACGCAACCTGTTTCCACATGTCATGGGTGCTCTACATTTCAATGCATCCCACTTGGGATAATAATGAACTCCTGTGAGAGATTGGAGCTTTTGTTTCAAGCTTTCAATAACACATCTGCTGGATGCAGTCTTCTTCAAGTCAATTACACGCCAAGCAGAGCGCGCTTCTTTAGGAGACGACGAATCAAAGAACAATAAAAAGTCAACCTACAGGACAAGAGGCAATAAGGTTTCCTTTTGGGCTGACACCAGGCACAATGGGCTCTGTCTGTCAAATTAATTAACCTGGAAACCTGTTTAATTCCCACACTCAAATGAAAGGGGCCGCCGTATCCACAGGAAAGAAATAACTCCGGAGCAGGCGGTAATTGCATGTCTAGGTGATTTGTTTCGAAAGAATACTGGGGCCACCAGCCAGTTTGGAGTCATGCATACTCTGCGAGGGGTGAGGAGTTAATGTTAGATCAATGTAGGGGCGATGTTAGATTAGCGACATGAAGGTCACTGAGCTGCCGGGGCCTCGTGTCTCATTTGGCACCATCTGCTTTTGAATAATAAAATCAGCCGATGTATGCTTTTCTTCAATATCATAAGCAGAGAGAAAAAAAGGGATTGAGATTCTACAGGCTCGCCGTGTGAAAAGACATACTTACCTCCTGTGCTATTTATTCCAAAGACAAAGCAGGTGCACCATGGCTAGGACGATAGACTCTCCACGCTCTCAGTTATGATTGTAATCCATCTGTCATACCTGCTCCTTTCTAATTATGCCTCTGTAAAGTCGGCGCTGTGAGCTCAGGGCCCATTTACACTCTGAAATGTGAAAGATAGACAGATAAGACACAAGTGACCACTGGAATACATAACTGCGGCGAATAGACCTTTTTTCTCCACATGCCGTCTTTGACTCTTCTGGGTTATGTGACAATGAGCCAGCATGAATGAGTGTGCAGAGAGGTGGCCTTTCAGAGCAGGAACACGAAGGAAAATTAAACCATGGCTGCAGCTGTTTCTCTTTTAGACAAACGTGACAAGTACCTGCTCTTGGGTTGTGAGCTGACCTGGTTTCGATAATGATCAGGGAGCTATTTTATGTGGCAACAACGGGGTAAAAGGTGCTGACCTCCAACCCACGCCGTCCTGGAATCATCCTGAGGCCTTATTAGTGTGTGTCTGAGCCTGTGTTTTGATGGCTAACCTCAAGCTCCACTGGACTTACATGATAAGTGGGAGCAGCTGTGTTAGTTAGCCAGGAGGACTTTCGCCACAAATTTGATTGTGATAGCAAATGCCTCCCGCCTTGTGCCTGTTAAATAGCTGACCTCCTGAGTGGCTCTGGACCTCTGCGAAATTATTCTATCACAAGTGTCTTCATAGCGCGGTGTGACGGAGGAGATGTTATCCACAGTCTTTGTGAATGACTCATAACAACCCCTCTGTGTGTCTGTGTGTCCGTGGGTGGTGATGTGCATGCCTGTGTGAGAACTACAGATGACTCGAGTACCTTTCATAACTATCAGTGGGACAAAAAAGGACAAAAAAACCATTGTCTGGATTCCAAAAACTTTGTAAATTAAATATTGAAGTTTTTTGGCCAGAAGAGTGAAGCAAAAAAGAAACTTTTAAAAAGGAATTTGTGTTTCCTGATTTAAAAGTTAAATTAAGTTAGGGTCAAACACACCATAACACCGTTTTCGAGACCCCGACGAGAGATGCATGTTGCTGACTGCTTGCTTCTCTAGTTATACCAACTTTGGCAACGACCGCATGATAGCAATACACAGCGGTCTAAGGAGCCATGTGCTCAACCAAATGCTACTCTATAGCCACAAATAATGCTCAGAGCAGCACCTAACTTCATCAACAGTACATATAGGGTCCTAGCCATAGCACTAGCCACCAAACATCTTTTTAACTTTGCTTAATTTCTTTAGCAAAGAAGCTAAACACAACTCACCTACTCTCTTCCAGCAGCCGCTTTTTCGTAGTGAGACCTTGGGCGAGTCTGAGCGGGGTGACGCAGCTCAAGGAAGAACATTCACGATCATTTTTTCATGGAAATGCAATCAGACTGAGATGCAAAATGATCAGTATGATGATTATTACTTCAAGGAAATGATAAAGTAATGATCATAAATGTTCTTCCTTGAGCTGTGTCACCCCGCTGCAGTCGTGATGGACTGGCCCGAGGTCTCCATACAAACAAGCGGCTGCTGAAAGAGAGTAGGTGAGTTGTGTTTAGTCTCTTTACTAAAGAAATCAGGCAAAGTTAAAAAGATGTTTGGTGGCTAGGACCTTATACATCTGTTGAAGAAGTTAGGTGCTGTTCTGAGCCACATTACTTGTGGCTATAGAGTGCTGTTTTGGTTGAGGTTTGTGTGTGGCTCCTCAGACTGCTGTGTATTGCTATCCTGCAGTCTTTACTAAAAGTGGTATAACTAGAGAAGCAAGCGGTCGGCAACATTCATCTCTTGAGGGGGTGTCTAATCTGGTGTTACGGTGTGTTTGACCCTAACTTAATTTTACGCCGGAATATCAATTTAAGTTCAGAGGGGAGAAAAAGTGGCTTGCCTCTGACCAAAGATAACAAAATCTGCCCTCAACACCTTACAACTTCTAGAAATGTGGTGCAAAAAAGTTAAACAGCCAATGTAGTGTCGAAGTCAGGAGTGTAATTGAAGCTCCTGTAAAGAACTTTCCGTTTTCCTCCATGTTTGTGCCCCTGGAGATAAAGCCGTGCCTCTCCTCTAATTGCTGATTTGTCCTGGACATGTGCAAGCAGTGCGATTTTCCCACAAGATTCTGATCCTGCTTTCTTTCCAGTCAAACATATCACTCAGTGCGAATCTCTGCAAAAACAGTAAAAACAGCCTGCTCTGGCAGTGTGCAGTTTATCACTCGATCTAGCACCTTTCCCTATAGCAGCAGTTTCAGACTTTTAAAAATAGCCGCATGGAATAATCAATCTTGTCATTTTATAAGTTATATATTTTGCTTTTGTAAGATAAACAGTAGCCTCAGTATTAACTTCGGCCTGTTTCATAACCCTCTGAAATCCTCCTCACAGGAGCTTTAAAGGTTAGTGGATAAAAATAGGAATATTTATAGACAGCAGTCAGAGCCTGCATTGAAATGCTCCCTCACTAACCCCTCCCAGAGAAGTGACAGCGATGCATGCTAAGTATGATCCCCTATTTATCAAGTTTTAACAATCAACCACATCTATCAATGCAAACAATATTGCAAGGAAGGCATGTAGCCGAGGGAGACAGTCCTGCGTCAGCAGCTGCAAGACTGTGGTACACGGAGTACACACTTAGCATGCTATCCCGAACCAGCACCCCGGGTGGTATGTGGCTTTTGACTCACTGCAATGGGGTTTTAAAAACACTTAGAAAGAAATGGTAAATAAACATTGGCTTGAGTGCACAAATACACTGCATACCCCCACCTCAATTAATCAATGCCATAGTTTGGCCACCCTCCATTTCCAGCCCCAGTGACAGGCTTTAACTAACAGCACAAAACCACAAGTGATGACCTGGCATGTGTCTGTTAAAAGCACAAACTGCTAAATCTGAAAATGAAGTGAAAAGATTGTGTTAGGGGGCTATGACTATTTCTCTGCTTCATACTTCTACTCCCCGGGGTCTTGCCATTAATGGGTGGTTGCCAGGCAACCAGCAGGGACTCTTCTAATTCACCACGCCAGGAAGACAGATATTTACCAATTTCAAACCATTCATTGCAGAGAGTAAAATTCTGATACTGCACTGTACTTTATAGACTGGTGTGTGGTCTCTGTAGCATCACAATTTAAGAAGAAACAGGCTGATAAGTTTAAGAGGTACTAAAAATCATATTTTTAATTTATGCCCTTTGGCGAAAAAGCTGACGAGTGTAATTCCCTGAATGTTTAATCACTTCTTTAATTAAACGGTATGTAATGGTGTATGATTCAACTCACAGACAGCTCTCCTCATAGATAGCTTCTGATTTGCTTGGGATCTACTGCTTAAATGTAGGGGTTTTATGACCTATCGTAAGTATTTGATACAATCAGGTTAAAGGCACAGTTTGTAGTTTTTTAGCTGCATTGTTTATATATATAGATGTTTATATTTAATGTTTTTGTGACTTTTTTTGTTGCATTTATATTTTTAAGTCAGTGATGTGGTTACACTATATGCACCGATTGGAAAATGGAGAAAAAAGAAGAAAGAGGCTCATACGGAGCATGCATTGTAGAAGCTACTTCTCCTCAAAGGCCCCGATCACTTCATTAAAGAAATGGATGGGTGAGTAAGGGAGGGGCTCACTCAAAAAACAGACTGCTTTATATACCTAAATAATCCCATTTTTACACACCTCACCTTCCTTCCTTCTGGAGATGAAAAGGTGAGTTAAAATGTGGCCTTCTTTCCAGAACAGTGTGTGCACCTCAGCTGTTTTGATCTACAATTACCTTTTTATGCGGCAGAAGCTTGCTCTTGGTTTGCATTGATTTCTGCCTCCATGGTAAACATTTTCTGAAAATATAGACAGTTTTGTGAAGTACCGACTCTGGTTCCATATATATAGTAACTCTGTGCCCACGGCACGCCATAAATAAGAGAAACGCTTAACTCAAAAGATAGGAGGAGGAGCAGAAAATCTACATCTTTTAATGGACCCATTTGGTCTTATTAGAATCTTAATATTAATGAGCACGACAGCACACATGCTACAGATGGACACCATAACATCATCATTATTTCACTCTGGCAGGCATGCCTCCCAGTTTGTTAATCATCACGGTTTATGTTCTGGCAGCTGGTCACAGAAGCACCACGATGACTTAGAGTCTGACGTACGTGCAAGCTCACAAACTTCCTTTTTTTTTTTTTTGTTTCACTACAACAGAAAATTAGCTCATTCTTCCTTTTTCTATCATGAACTTCACTCCTAAAAAATGTTACTGCTGCTGAAACTGTGCAAGTGGATTATGTCCCTGCTGCTTGAATTAACTGCAGTGCTGTTTGTGTTGCAAAATAACATATTTTCTTCATCTTACACAGCTCATTACCATATGGAGCTGCTAGCGAGGACTGCGGCGCAGGGCAGGCCTACTTATTTCAGATAAGTGCCCCTGCAGTCTTTGCTCGAGTTTGAAAAGCATCCATAAAGGTACACACATACACACACAAACATTTACAGAAAGTATTTGCTTTCCAGGCTGCCTGCCACTATTGCAATCCATCATGCGCACAAATTAATCTTTGTCACTCATTAGGTGTAAAATAACCCTTTCGAGATTTACCACACATAGCAAACACATGAGGTAGAACAATAAATCACTACCTTTATGTATAAAAGCTGCCCACTTACACTGACACTTGTGGTGGCTGACTCATCCACTGTACGCGGTTTCTCTTAGCCTGAGGCCACACTCAATTAAAAGAGGTTCAAGTTAAACCGCTCCCCATTTTGACCATGTGCGAGCCTGAGGAGCGTGCAGTTTGACAGTAATCCCCTGGGGTTTATCTGCGCCATGACTTCATTGCTTCCACGGTCCCCAAGTACCCTCCTGTGTCGCTCTTTCAGCCACGGTCTGTCTCCCTTTGGACTCCCGTGTCCCACAGGACCACTGTCGCTGAAACCGAGGGTCACAAAAGCTGCCATTCCCCCCCAGGGTCCTTCCACAGTTTTCACACTGGGTGCCTTTTTTGAGTCATCCCAGCTGATCTCTTATACATAAAGGGTGAATCAAGGTGAGATGGGAAAAAAAATGCATATATTCATACTAGGTTACAATATTAGGGCGTGCTTTTGATGTACTATGGAGATGAGGGAGGTCACGGTCAATCTAGGGTGCTTGTCCTGAAGTGACACCTGCTGCTTAGGAATTCCAGCTCAAAGTGAAGAAGAGGAAAAGAGAACGCATTGTGCTGACAGAGTTTGGAAGAAGGAATGGTTGTGTATTGTAGCGTTTAATGGGTGCCCGCCAGTGTCAAGTGAAAGTGAGTCCTGTCGACACAGAGCACAGCACAATACAGACGGAGCAGAATGAGACTTCTTATGGCTGCTGTGGGATTGAATAAAGCCCAGTTCATTTGCTGCATATCACGTTTTCTTACATGGTTTCCGACAATTCCTCATATTTCATCCGTGGCGCCAGCAATGGGAGTTTTATATCCTTCCTATTTCCTCCACCTTTCAGCTCGCTTTAAGCTCCACCATGTCATGATGGTGTTTTTTTTTCCCCCTCTTTTGGAATTTCTCCCTTTTGCTTTCAAGCTGAAAATCAAATCTATAAATCAAAGGCAATGGGAGAAAGACACGGCGACTGAAGGGCATTTAAATCCTTTCAGGGTTCCCAAAGCCTCGGAAAGCGAAATAAACAGGAAATTAAAATAGAGCTGGAAATGGTAGCAATCCCTCTTTTCAAGGGATTGAAACCAGGTGCGTTTCTTAACGCGCCTTCCTGTTTTATATTCTGTTCTGTTGGGAATGGATCCTCATCTCCCGTATTACTCTCCCCAAAAGAGGAAAGAATTGTTGTCTTTGCGAATATTGAAATGCAAAAAAATAAAAAAATAACACTGATTCTTTTTGCTGAACTGTTTTTGCAGATTTATTTTGTAATTCCGGGGCCTCACATTAAAAAAAGTGTCACGCGTTATGTGCAAATGTACCTGTGGTGATTGTACATTGTTTCCCATATGGGCACAGTCATCAGACAGAACACTGGCTACAAATGTCTATGCTCACCTGGCGCCTTGTTTTACTGCAAAAATGCTGCAGAAATAAGTTGTCGGCTGACCTTCAGACTGAACTCCATTTGCATAAAAGCATATGATTAGTTGTGGTGCAGCTTCCACTGAGAAAACTAATTTGTTCACTCTTGATATGAACAGACCCTGTTCAAGAAAGGGTGAGTGACCACAATTTTCCACCGATAGGTCAAACCTTTGGTAACAGAACTTTACAGCCGTCACATCTCTGTGAGGCTGTGCCGGGAAACAACAAAGGTTTCAGATAAATCTTCATGAGTATTAATATGCCAACCTTCTACTACACAAACGGTACAGGTGCAGCATGAAGGAAATACAAGTCATGAAACAACAATCTTCACAAGTAAATAATTGAACAACTGTAGACTATAGATATAGCTAAAGGTTAGAGGAACGCCAAAATTCATAAACTTGCGTACAGCAGTGTTGTTTTCATTGACGATGACATTGACGAAAATATCTCATCAACGTCATCGTCAACGAAAACTACACTGCAGAATATATGTTTAGCGTTTGACTGACGAAATGCTAAGGAATTTTGCAACTCTGTTCTTCGTCCACTACTAACGTTTTCGTCTAGTCTCGTCTTGTCAACGTAAACACATATTCGTCTCGTCACATTTTAGTCATCTAAGACTTACGTTTAGCTCGTCAACATCACGTCTTTGTGGAAAAAAGGGGCGTTGACAAAACAACCAATGTCATCATCCTCAACGAAAACAACACTGCGTACAGGTGTATAAACTATTATTTGCAATGTATCCAGTTCTCCGTACGCAGCTACTGCAAATCAATGCAGCTATTAAATCACTGCTTCCCAAAACAGAATATGAAATTGTGTCATCAATAGTTGCACATCAGGCCATGATCTCCAATTTCGGAGGTATGTCCATGTTAAAAAAACTGTTTTGATTAGTCATGTTTGCCTTGAGACTTCAGAAATCAACATAGGTGGGCACTGGTGCTGCATTTAAAACTGTCCCAGCAAACCTCATGGTAGAGCAGATGAAAAAGGATAACAATATTTTTTTATTTTTCCTTAATCCAATGTTGAAGTGCTAAAAACTGCAGTTCCCTGATTGCCCACTTGAGTCTGATGCAGAAATACTGGTAATCACACACAAACACACTCATTCAAGACAGCCCATCAGAGCAAAAATACACATTTACAGTCCGCTTAAAAATCGTTTTTGTTGTGAATAGCTCTTTTTTTCACCACACACACTGTACACAGAGTGATTATTATAATGCAATCAGTTCAAGATAAATATGAAAGTTACAAGCGGACCATGGTAACTATTTCTGAACAGGCTAAAAACCTGCTGAAACCTTGACTTTTGGCCTCATTGTATGTCTACTGATAGTTATGTTGGGTTAGCATTTCCAAAATGATGACTGCTGCAGACAGACTTTAAATCTTTGGCTCAGAAACAGATGTGTGGTGTCGCTCATGTTTCGCTCAGTCTGTGGTTTAAACAAGGAAATAACTTGTGAAAGGCATCTTAAGGGAAGAAGCCAAATTAATAGTTATTTTATGTCCAATCACATGTAAATTTAACGTTAATATGAGTAAAACGAATCCTGAATGAAGATGTGATTCATCTGGCTTCATGTGGAAAAGTCCACAAATAACCTCTGTGGCATCCACAATGTCCTCCTGCTCACAAACTTTGTTGCACGTTTACATTAGCTGTTAATGATTAAGTGACAATGAGATCTATGGGAGGGGAGGGGCAGAACACAATCTCTACTGTGGAGGAAGTAAGAAAGGAAGAAAGGAAGGAAGGAAGGGGGAATACACCTCATCCTTGGTGTGGGATGAAAAAGGGACAAGCCAGCAGTTGGCAGAGTAATTGTTCATTCATGATTATCATATTTTCATGATTGTGGGGAGCCATAATCATAACTGAAATTGAAATTCAAGCCATGTTAGCTGTTTGTATTCATTAGCGGTACCATGCAGCTGCTGTACAGTATAATACGTTTTTGATAAGCACTTAGCTTCCTTGTGTCTTCGCAATGACAAGTGCAATCTGCTTCAGAGTCCCTGAGATCTGCAACTCTGTAAATAGAACCGTATTCGGTCAGAAGGTCAAAAGTATTTGGAAAACCGGCACTAACTAGCAGAAGAAGAACATAATCATTTTTCATGCACGGTTACAGCTAGCAGCTGCAGTACCCTTTTGCTCTCTTTTATTTTGCAACTCTTGTAATAAATGTCCTCCACTTTTTCAGTGATTCTAACCTGGTAAGAAGCTGCACAAGGAAGAATTCTGGTTGTTGAGAGGATGGTTGAAAGTGTGGAGAGATGTCAAGTCAAGCTAGATGCAACACTGCCACTGTTTCCAGGTTCAGAAAGTTGTTAGCATTCAGTTGCTGTTGCTCTGGGGAAAGTCATCCTTCTCCACCCAAAGCAACCATGGTTATCACATCCACCACAGTATCAAGCCTTGTAAATTGGAAGTAGTAATCCAGCTTACTGGAAAGATAGCTAGTCAGCGAATTTAGGTTACATAAAGGTACATTGTGATATGTTTGCGGTTGGGTCTGTACAGTGACTGTTCAGCAAAGGTAAAGAAAGCAGAGCAGGAGCTGACTCATGTTCGACAATCGTCTGTGTTGGAATTGTAAACGGGATAGAGGGAGACACAGAAAGACAGGGATGGATAGAGACAAATAACAACAGCAAGAACAACATACAGAAGAGTGGCACAGAGTACACTTTTTTGTTGAACTAGATGAGTAAGTGGTTATATTGTACATTTATTTCAGATTTACTTGGGATTTGAAGGGAAACACTACCTCTGTTCATTTTGTGCTTACATTTATCATCATTTATATAACACTGTGACTCTAAACTATTACGAATGGACTGTTATGCTGTTGCTGTGGAAATACATTTACACTTTTAAGTAGGTAGCAAGATGATAGCTTGATGGAAAATGCTCTTTATTTTGTTTGCACAAAGACAATGCTGTTCCCTGTAGTCACTGATAAAACGTACATCGTTTCATTTCAGTTTCATCACATCTGTCACTACTGCATATTGCCATAGATGTTGGCACGGTTAAATGTTAAAACTAGAAATGCACTTGGAGAGTGCAGACCTCCGCCAAGCAGCTCATGTCCCCCCTTAAACTAGAAATGGCCTGACCGGAATTTGAACCCAGGACCTTCTGGTAGCGAGGCGACAGTGCTAACCACTACACCACTTTGCCACCCATTGCTTATCTTTCAAAATTGAAAATTCCAACGACACCCTTATTTTTGTGTGTTCTGGATCACAGTATCCAGAATTTTGTCCGGATCACCACCAAAATTTAATGGGATCCTCCTGGGGCTGAGACGCACCTCTGGTGAAAATTTCAGGTCAATCCGTCTGTTGCTTTCTCCGTAAAGTTGCTGGCAGACAAACAAACAAACAAACCAACGCTACCGAAAACATAACCTCCTTGGCGGAGGTAATGAGCCAACATGAGGGCCATAAGCTTTTCTTATGGGGTCACCTAACATAACAAAGCTGTGTTGCTGGGTATGCTGAAAGCTAACACTGGCTGTTGTCGAGAATATTACTCTAGCTGGAACATGGTCTGATATCCCTCCATATTGCCACGTTTGATTGTCTTCTTTTAGTTCCTGGTCAATCATAAAGCACGGAAATGATTACCCCAACCCATTGACACAGCAATCTCATTTCCCATAAGGAGAGTGACATCAGGTAAACACAGCTGCAGCGTTAATTTGTTGGGACATTGCCGGAAAACCTTAAATGTTAACTTCATGGCGCTACTCGAAGAAAACTCGGGAGATTACCAGGGATCATAGTGCACATTGGATACCGGCAACTGTGACAGTCAGAATGAAATTTCATGACAATCCATCAAATAG